TAATTGATGTTTTCAGCACTTGGAGCATGTGTGCCATTATGTGTGTGTGTGTACCATATAAAACCCTGTGTTTGCTGGCTGCAGCGGGCAGACGGAGGCTGAGCTGAAGTGATCTGCTGTTTAATGGTCACCAGAGATCCTCCCTGCCAATCATCATTACTATAGTGCCTCCTGTGTCACATTAATGATTCAGGAGGAAAACGTACAGCATCCTGTGATTCACCACAGAGTGATTTAGGGGTTATACATTAAAACACAAGAGGAGAGCTGAGCCGTGGTGCGTTAGAGGCTGTGAAGGTCCATCCAACTTTAAACCTGAAGAAAACCATCTAGACAGAGTAAGGGTTAACAGCTGTCTGGCATTTTGTATGAAATATTAATGATCTGGACACGCTGTAGCCACCTCTGTCAACATTGTTTGGTAGTGAGCATGCTAGAAAATGTAGCTCCTGGGGAAATTATTTGGAAAAAACATCAGCCTCCCAGGGGATGAAGAATGTGCTGATACAAGGTGAAGAAGCTACTGTTTGATTTACTCGCTCTCTTTAAGGCATAAATAGGTCTGTAAGGCTAAAGCTGAAGTCGAAGCTGATGAATTTTGAAGAGGATGGGGGGTGACCCACATTTCTGCAGGAACACAGCACACACCATAGCATGTCGACCTCGTTCATCCCACTTTAACTCTCTCACAGAAAGGGTCTGTAAACACATTTACACACAAGCATTTTTGGCCATGACTTGAGAATTTATGACCATATTTCACAGTATTTCACGGACACTGAATTGGTGATACTCTAAGGTCAAAGGTCAAAGGTCATTGTGAGCTCAAAATAGGATTTTACCCGTACTTTAAGAACGAATTGGCTGATTCCAGATTTTACACACACAGGGACGACACAATGAGTAAACAATAAGTAGCAGAGTACGGGTTTCATCTTTCCATCTCGTTCATTCTGCCTTTCACCTGCGGCCTCGTTCTGAATGTCGAGCGTCATCAAAATCATGTGACTGCGAACAACGTTTTGGAATGAGCATAGTTAATCATGATCCTGTACGTGACTTTCACCTACGACTTATACAGAGGCTTTCATCATCTACTAAGTATGGAGAATATTTTGCATATTCTGAGACAGAAATACAGGCGATGCTCCTCTCATTTACTTAACTTTGCGACTTAGTTTGGAGAGGACAGATGTTTGTTGTTTAAATCCCAGGAGCACTGATGAACAAAGTGGCTACAGAGGAAAACTTTTCAATGTCATGTTGAGATGCTAAAATAGAGCAGAATAACAAGACCTCTGACACAGAGTGAATAAAGTTTTATTTTAAAGGGTAAAGCTGTGGTCTGTCCTTATAAACATATGAAAAGACCAAAACGAATAAGTTAGTCTTTCAATAAGTCTGACTTCCTTACATTGTCTGTGGCTCTGTTGTTGGTTATTACTAACTACAGAATTCTTTAAAACCGTTTAAATTAAAGGCTCAGTAACTTCCTTAAGTTGGTAGACACTGAACTCCGTTGAAAATGTGACTCAAACAGGAGTATAGAGCATTTGTGGGGGGATATTTTCAGTCACAGGGTTAAGGCTGTAGAGAGTATTTACTCAGCAGCACGGTGTATGTGTGATTAAATTAAAATAAACTAAAGTGGCCATGTTGAGTGCAATAAAGGAACAGTGGAACGGTGTAGCTCACTGATGTGTTTCTAATAGTATAAAGTCTATGACTCAGATAAATAAGCTTCAGTCAGGCTTTAGGTACACAGACAATAGGCAGGAGGGTGCATTCATTGTTGGTTTTGAACTGTTATAAGATGTTGACCATAAGGAAAATATAAAATATAAACACACTTATCTTTTAAAGCCTCACTGAGCTGCTGTGCAGAGCTCTTCATCCAAAGACTCACACCTGGTGTATAAAGCACAAACCTGGACCCTCTTGCAATGTCAGAACGTAATAAAATAAAATGAGTCATTGTTTTCCCATGACACTATTTACATTTGAAGGTTTTGTGTCTTGTGTAGTATTGAACTACACCCAGTGCCAGACTGAGATGAAAGTACTGAAGGACTGAAGCTGTTCTGAACACATCGGGAGACTCATATTTTGATCAGTATTTCTGTTCCTCTGTCCATCCACTGAATGTTCAGTAATGACTGTATTTACATGTTTATCCCAAGTTCATTTCTCATCCATGTCTACTTTTCTTTTCTGCCAACGGGAGCCCAGCTGCTCCCAGCGCACCTGTGGTCTTTAATTGGTAGATTGATTCTGCCGTCTGTAAGCCCGGCCACCTGCAGGAAACACCTGACTCACTGGTGGTAAAATGCCACAGAGTTACAAAACACCAAGCAGACCACAATGTGGCTTTGTGGCCAGATGTCCCTGCTAGAGCACAGACGCAGTGACAAATGATCTATTATACGTTTGAAGAAACATGAATTTTGAATGGTGGAAAAGATGAAAACCTTCCCCACACTGTGCTGTGAAAGCAGTGAGTCACCTAGCCTTCCTCGGAGCTATGATATTAGTGCAGAGCTGAGAAATGAAATGAGTGCATTTCCTCTGCTCAGAAGCCAAAGTTTAACTGTCTTCTCACTCGTGTTTACTCAGGACAGAAAGAGGCAGCAGGAATGTGTGCTCGGTGTGTACTCAGGGAGGGCTGCGTCACGACACCACGCCCACTTCAGCACACAATTCAAAGATAGTGTTGTGCTCTCACAGCACGACTGCAATACGAGGCTCAGATAAATATTAGTTTCGCTTTACTGATGTTGTTGACCGAGTATTTGTCATGTGTGTGCCCGGTACGTCAGGAGTATCATGTGGCACAGTTGCTTGGCTGCCAGAAGTTGTTATAAACTATTGACTTCTTCACACTCAGTTGCCAGTTTATTAAACCTAGCTTATAAACTAACTTACAGATGTCTGTCAGGACTAGAGACACCCAGCTTTTAACTGGCACAATCCCGGATGCTGATTTTGTTTTCCTAGGATGGCGAAGCAATGGCACACCCTATTCTGCCTCTGATTGGCAAGTACCTGCTGCCTCTGTAGGTTGGGCTGGTTAGGTTTAGGGGTGAGGGTTTTAAGGACTAGGGTAGAATATGAAGGTAAGAAGGGTCTTTGCTTTGCCACCAATACGACCAAATACTTGCAAAACATTGTCATCAGCCTCAGCTGTAGGGCTACTTTGTGTTTAGTAATTAGCAAATTAGCACTAATGAACCAGCAACATCCTAAAACATTAAAATTAAATAATGAACATTGTGAACATCAGCTAGTTCTGAAAACTAATGTGCCTAAATACGGCCTCACAGAGCCACTATGATGTCTTCATCATTTATCTTGTTCTAAAGGAGATCACAATAAGTGAATAATATACCAAAGCATATGTATATTCAGCACTTTGACATTTTTAAATGCAAAGGTATCTGTAAATCATCATTATTTCCTCTATTAAATCCCCATCTCACGTCTGAAAGGTCTCTTCACTGGATGCAATGCAGCTGCAGTTCAGTTTAAAATGCTGATAATCACTGATGTCATGATGTGCCTTTGGTTGCAAATGAAGCTGAGATGATGTCTGCTGGTTCATTAGTGCTAATTCATGTAAAGTGAAGGGAAGAGGCGAGAGAAGAAAGGACGAGGATGAAAGAGACGGTAATGAATAAGGACTGAAGGAGGCTGGTGTGGGCTTTACGCAGATCCCTCCACTCCATTCAATTTTTATTTCCCAACTTCATTTACACAAATTCTGCACTGGCAGAATTTTGTCCCTCTCCTCAGTGCCTCATATAACTTTATATTTATTAGTTTCTGATCTCCATGGTTGGTCTTATTGGAAAGTCATTTTTGTGCAAATCAGGTTATTCACAGCAGTTTACTTTTATCAGGCACTGCAGTGAGATTGAGAATCTGTGTGTGTGTGTGTGTGTGTGTATGTGTGTGTGTGTGTGTGTTCACGTACAGCATTCAAATCACATCCTTTCTCTGAGTAACAGTTGCGTCAGAAGAAATCAGATCCCCTTAGCATTTCCACGACACAGCTAGGAATGACATTTTCACTGCTGCTCCCTGTGGACCATTTGTCATAATCTAAGCGGCCATACTTCATGTGGAAGAGCCATTAATCGCAGGGTTGGTGGTTCAAACACTGGCACCATGTGTCATGGTGTGTTTTGGCAAGATAGTGAACCCCATACTGCTCATGATGAGTGTGTATGGGCATTAGGAAAAACAAGAGTCTCTGTGAGGCTCTACTTCGGCACAGCAGGGCTTTGAGCTAAATGCTAATGTCTTGATGCTTATAATAACAATGATAACAACATACTGATGTGTAGTCATTGTTTACCATGTTCATCCCCTTATTCTAGGGTGTTAGCAAGCTTACATTTGCAAAACAAAAAGGAGCATAGCAGAGGCTGATGGGAGTGTCATTATTATGTGTATTAAATGGGAAAACTGACCTAATGATGGAAATTTAAGCAATCATCAAATAATAAGTGCAATTCACCCTGGGAAGTATGGATATATGCACTAAATTTCTTGTAAATCCATCCAACTGTTGTTTGGACCAGAGTGGTGGACAGACACACTCATGGCTAACGAGTCAGTCTCCTTGTACAAAACCATCCACAAAATGAATGTGTCTGTGTGCATTGGCATGCAGGTGTGCAGATAATTAGCGGAAGTCTTGTCGTGAATTTCAGGGAGAGATAGAGCTTTGCTAATAGAAGTTGAGAAATGTGGGTGTTGTTCTCTGAATGTCAGGCTCGGAGCCTAATTGGGAGGTTGTTAAGCCGCTGTGGAGCTGTCAAATGTCTACCAATTACTTGTACTTGTAAACCTGAAAATCATTGTCTTATTTTAACTAATGCTTTTAACACTGACCAAAAGACAAACACATCATCAAGCACTGTTGTTGCCAGCCCATTTATTGGATATTTGTCATTTAGTTATAAGTTATTAATGTCCTTTGTCTGTTTGACCTCATCTAGGTTTCCTGAGAGTGGCCACCTCTTGTCAGCATCCCAACGAAACAGAAAATTAACGGAAGAAACACTGGAGGGAAGTTCAGACTATGCCAGCGCTAAAAGAGCAACAACTCAATCATTAGCACAACGTTACAGAAAGAGGAGCACTTTGCAACACAATGTAGTTTTTTCTGACTTCCTAAATGCAACATCTTTGCTTGGCTGAATTCATTGGACCAGTGTAGACTGAAGCATCAATGGAGCAAGTCACGGACGATCTGAACCTCTCCTTTCTGCTGGAACATGAAAGAGACATGATTCTGAAGGTGCTGCAGAAAGACGAGAAACTGAGGAAACGAGAGGAGAAGAGGATACGGTGAGGACTTCAGTATCAACATCTGAACTCGTCTCGCTCTCAGTTTTCTGAATATTACTTCACGTTCTCCTCTTTCTGTCCCACAGGAAGCTGAAGAACGAGCTGCTGGAGATCAAACGAAAAGGTTCCCGTCGCCCTCAAGATGTGTCTGAGCGACAGTGCGCTCGCTGCATGAAGACTTTGGGCCTGATCTTCGACCGCGGAGATCTCTGTGAGGAGTGTCAGCTGCGCGTCTGCAATGACTGCCGCGTCAAACATCCCAACTCGCGCCAGTGGAAGTGTAACGTTTGTGCCAAGATCTCGTAAGTGTGATGCCCACAGGGACCAGAACAGGAGTGTACTCCAGATGGTTTGGATTAGATGGTTAATGACACCACATCTGTCTCTATTTGTATGTGTGAGGGCCTCAGGTGTTTCAGTGCTTTGATCTTCCAGAAGGCTTAAGAGACTAATCCACCCAAACGCAATTACTAAAAACCTTTTTTCACAGCAGACATTTTACAGGAATTGCACAGGTGTAACTGACAACATTAAAAACAACTCTATTGCATTCAAGTGGGCTAGTTTCTGGTATTGTGCAGGCAGGCTTACTGTGACACCTTATGTAACTGAGCCATCGCCTGTGATTTTCCCACTATGACAAGTCGGAATGTCTGCTGTGAAAAGGTCTGTTTTTCAGTGTTGCTAACTGATTACTATCGACTATATTAACACACAGATGTTACTGTATATAATTCATGTTCGTTTTTGTAGAGGAACACGCAGCAATTGGTGTTCTTGCTGAGTTCTCGCCAGTCGTTACTGACCCAGGGATCATTCTGTTGTCTACTGTATTTACTCAGTTGTAAGGTTTTCTCCTTCTTGACTGTTCGAGTTGGCTAATTTGTGCAAGTTGGTGGAAACAATCTTAAACATTATTGTTTAACATTATTAAAACTTTGGGGATGACTGGTTTATACATTTTAGACAAAGAAGAACTGTGGGATATTTACAGCTCTGCTACAATGGAACAATTAGAAACTAACCAAGTCATTACTGGTGAACATCAGGGTTGTCTGTTCCTCTGAGTCAATTAGCAGTGGGTTCTTTTTATAGTCGCTTAGCACACACAGCATTCAATACACAATAAGACAATCGATTGCAGGGATACCAAGTTCTCTGCCGCTGCTAGTCTGAGTTATCACATTGCAGCCACCAGAAGTGTGAAAAGTTAAACTTTTCTCAACAACTTTTCTCTGGAAGTATGTTGATGCATTGAATTCTGGTAATAGGTGGACATTGTGTTTGCAGGGAGCTGAAGGTTGTAACTGGAGAATGGTTCCTAGAGGAGCGGTCCAAGCGCTTTGAGCAGGGAGTGCCGAGCAGTGACGTGATCAAACAGACAATCATGAGTAGCCCTACCAGTGAGTTTTACCACTAATGTTCTTCTGACTGTAACTGTAAATGTCATCCAAACCATATTGAGTAGGTGGAAATAGTGAGATTGGTGGTGAAGTTGATGTTTTTAATCACCAGCCACAGACAAAAAGTCAGCAGAAAATGTTCCAGCCCCTCCTGAGCCAGAGAGAACCAACACCCCAAAACCCAACCGAAGTGCAATAAGCAACGTTATAGACGGTGCCAGGAGGAAAGGGTAAGTAGAGGAAATAGAGTACTCAATAGCTCAATTCATGTGCATGCAAGCACATACGTATTCTGAATTTAATAGGGTTTACTCAATGAATTACATTAACATGAAAACATGAAATATGCAGTATATGCAGAGGAGAGGGTAAAATCATCTCAAACCACATCTGACAGAAATCAGCAGTGCGTTGAGGACTCACCTCAGAACAAATGCATTAGAGAAGATCAAGTGGATGTTCATTAGATTTTTCAGAGACTCTGAATGCATTTTAAAAGCACTAACTGGTTTATGCTGGCTCTCTTCTCCTCATCTTGGCTGCACTGTAATGGTTCCTGAAGGCATCACAGTGATTCAGACAAAGAGGCCATGCAGAAAAGAGCAAACCAGCTCTGATAAAAAATAGATATTAGGGCTGAAACTTAGAAATTAACTACTTTAATTTCACACTCACAGGAAGCTGCAATTATTTTATCATAACCACTTTAATAAAATAACCTGCTGAAGACTTTCTGACTAAATAATTAAATAAATCATAATTAATTATTAATTCAAACAAGATTCTTCAAAGAATTATTAAACATTATTAAACATGTGTCTTGTTACCAGCAATGTTTAACTTAAAGAATTCTGTTCCTGCGTCCGGTATTCAAAATATACTTTATTTTAATTCTACTTCATATTAATCTAGATTTGCATCAGATTTCATAAGCAGTAGTGTTAGACAAACAAATAGAGTATCATTGAGAATCAAGTAAGTAGTAGTAGTAAACTTCAAAAATGTTATTGCAATATTAATAATAAGTTAACTTAATAATAAGACTAAAATAGCAGTGCTTCAAGCTAAATGCTAATATGAGTATGCTAACATTGCTCACATTAACAATGTTGACATGATGATGTTATTGCAGGTATAATGTTGGCCGTGTTCATTAACGTAGCGTAGCTTGTTAACATGCTAACATTTGCTAATTAGCACACAAAGGCTGACCAAATGTATTCATTAAAACTCATTAAAACTCATCCTAGAGCATGGCTAAAACTTGTATATCTGCATCATGGCATCAAGCCATGTGATCGGCTTAAATAAATAATAATGTATCAGGGTTGTTCGTCCGTATTTCCTCCTCTGCAGGATGCAAACTGTAGAGTTGAATGACCGAGATAATCTTGATAAAGAGGGAGCAGAGACACGGTGTAATGACTCTGTAATAATGGACATGACTAAATATATCCAATAATACAGTAGATAACAGACTCCCTGTGTGTGTGTGTGTGTGTGTGTGTGTGTGTGTGTGTGTGTGTGTGTAGGAGGATGAAGATGGATAAAAAAGGTAGCCAACCAACCTTGAAGCCAGAGAACGGAGTGGACGGCACGAGTGACAAAACAGTTCCAGATGCAGATGCTCAAAGTGTACGAAGTGTTCGCTCTGCTCCGAGTCCACGTTCAAACAGGTGTCTATCCGCACGACCAGTAAACACACTGAGCTATGTACTGTACAGCAGCTCAATCCCATTTACTTATATACCGCCAGATCATAACAGAAGTTATCTCAGCACACCTCTCACATAGAGCAGATCTAGACCTTAGTCCTTATAAAATAAAATGCTTCACATCAATATCATATGATGGCTCCATAAGGGTTCACATTAACACCGATTTGGAAGTTGTTTGATCTCTAAGAAGGTTTTTAGATAGATACTTTCTCTCAGCACTGATGCAGCCCTGTATCAGTACCTACAGGATGAAACCTTAATGTGTGAATAGAAACTGCTTACATTCTGAGTATTTAGGTTAAAACCGAGTTATATCTGTTTGAAAAGTGTTCAGGCATCAAGGCCACATAACTGGTTTGAACACATTTCAATGACTAGAAAAAAAACAAGCAATAAAGAAAAATCAAGTGAGATGGCAATGACAGTTAATAAAAGCATCTATTGAGGTTATATTTGAGTAAATCTTATTTATGTTTCCCAGTGTCACACAACTATGCAAGACTTAAATTAATGTTATTTCATGAAGAAGAATGAAAGGAATGTCCTGGGCTTTAAATACTTGTTGTTGAACTAGTTTCTTTCTGGTTTTCAGGGGCGGAGCTGTTGCCTTGGAGTCCTCAGGGAAGCCCACGGTCCCCAACAACCTGCGTTCCCAAACTCTGGAAAGACCCTCAGCTCTTAGCGACAACCGGAGGGTCAGGGTCAGCAACTAACACACACAAACAGAAGCACGCATACAGTGACACACTGAGGGACACAATCCAGATTAAACTGTTATTCTAACAGTTTGGGTGTGTGTATTTGTGTTTGCACGCAGCCTGACGGAGCCGAGAGCGTTGCCAATTTACACTCCAGCGACAATGCGTCTGAGAAGAAAACGGCCGGCCATCACAGGTCGGATTCGGGCACCCCGACCATTTCCGTGTCCAGGGCCTCTGTGTCATCAGGTACCTCCACTACAACCCACGCGTCTTGCTTTCACATTGGAGCGACATGGCTCCTGCTGTTGTCTCACAGCCTCGCAGGTCGCACACAAGCATTACGATATCACAGTTTCAAGATGTGTCAGAGGCAGCAATATCATATCAAATGGGACATTAGACAGTCTAACCAATGCAAAAACACTCAGATGCTCTCCAACCCAGACTATTAAGTACCTCATAAAGGACAAAATTATTCCATACTCCTTCTGTCGGGAGCAGATGTCATGTCTGCACAAATTATACTATTAACTTACACTCCCGCCACTGTCTGCTGCTCTTCTTTGTGTGTCGAACTCTCCCTTTTTTTAGGTGTAATCTCCACTTTGCCTGCCTCTGTGTCAGACCCTTTATCTCCACTAGTAACAGCTGCTTAGAAGTGTGTCAAGATTTTGAAATAGCTCCGATTAGTGTCAAACCATATTCAGTATTATAATACAGATTTAACCTTTTTTGTTTTGTAGCCTTGTGTTTTCAGTTTTAGGATAGATTTTTAAGCTCCTAGTGCTTTTCTATAATTTTATTCATAGGCCTGACTATATGGTTGATACAGTGTGTCCCTGGAGGAGTCCTCAGACCCTCAGACTCACTGTTTAAAAATCTCAGACAGACACTTATGGTAAAGCTGCCTCCCAAAGCTCTAGACCCACTTTTGATCGCTTATTTACACTTCTAATCAATTTAATTTCATATTTTACACGTTTCAAGGGGTACTTCAGTGTTTTGGGAAATACACACTCACTTTCTTTCTCTCTAAGAGTTAATAGGTAGATCTATGTCAATCTCATGTCTGTGTGTTAGGTATAGAGCTAGAACCTGGAGGTGATTATTTACTTTGTATAAAGACTGAGGGAGAGAGAACAACTATGTTGGCTACCTCTTTAAAGTTCAAACATATGCCTTCCAGCTCTAAAACTTCCTGCTCTCTCTTCTTTTAATTGTACACACACTTTTTAAGCCCTTTTAAAACCAAAAACAGAAGAGCAAATGTTGAAAGAACTGATTAAACTGTAAGTAAATCTGCTCTGACAAAAACTGCTAGCATGTCCAGCTAACTGGGAGTCCCTTAAAACACAATGAATTACTCCTTGACTTACCCCTGAATACATACCAAACCTTTAGTATCAGAATCAGAACCCTATGATGATATGGTGCCAACAACAACACATCAAGTACTGCAACTAATGTTATTTAGGTTGTGGGTTAGCAAACTGTTTCTAAAGTTGCAACATGCAAAGAGGACGAGACGGCACGCCAGCCCCTCTCTCCCCACTCTCCCTCTCTCCCTCTCTCCCCACTCTCCCCCACTATTGCTAACATCACAACAACAGCATATTGTGACAGTATTCAGGTCCTTATACCTCAGATTTGTGATTTATTAATGGCTAAATAGAAAAATGTAAATGTACAAATGAACATTACAAGTACATTACATGTTTACCCCTTAAAAACCACTGAAACCGCGCATATAATCCAATAAAAATACCTGCATAAATGACCTGAATACTTAAATTTCATCATTATTTACAGGTATATTAATGGAGCAGATCCACTGTGAAATATTTTCCCAATGTGTGAATTCTGATCCTGGATGCTGTTAGATCAGGGTCACGTTTAGCCGCCGGGAAAACCCTGCAGCGATATCAAATGAGTTTTCTCTCTTGTAACGTTAAAAGTGAAAAATTACTGATGATCATACTTAGATTAAGACCAACATTAAGTAGTTCTACACTGCAATAAAACAACAGTGCTGTTCTTTTTATTTGCATGTATTTTACATGGATCCTCAGCTTGTGAGCCTGGGACCTGTTAGCTTTATATGAGTACATATTTAGGACACATAGGCTGGAAACATTAAAAAGACACAATATTTTCGACCAACTAATGAAGCTAATGACAGTTGTCGTATCAGTAAAATCAGTTGTTACCGTCCCTAAAACCAAGGACCAAATGTTTCAAAAATTAGAAAAACAGAAAGCTTCCTGACTTTAACCTCTTACTAAACAAAAATATCTTTGATTATTCCTTTAAATGATCAACTCTTTCTTTATAATTGCTCTCAGCTCATTCTTAATGTAAAGCACTTTCCTTGAACATTAGTAGTAAAATAAATGAAGATGATTGTTACTATAAGTTCATGATGTTCACACACAAGCAGACAATATAGTGATGATCATTAGTTTCTACTCTCTCTCGCACTGTCTGCTTCTATTCCTCAGTGTTTGCCTTCCAGTCCCTCTCCCTTCAAACAGCATCTTTGAAAGTACTTTCTTTTTTCTTTTTTCTCCTGCTCTGCATCCCCTGTCTCCCCCACTCCTCCCTCCCTGCAACAGATCACAGTCGCTCAGAGATGGACCTGTCAGCGCCTGGTTCTGAACCCAGTGACGATGCCCTCAGTCTCAGAAGCCGGTCGGTCCCCGGGCTCAATGAAACAGTAAGCGACACTGAATGCGCCCTTTCTTCCTCCTTAAGCTTCCTCGCACACTGACCATACATTTGATCTCTGCAGCAAATCCACCACAATCACAGAAAAAGCTCTGAGTGTGAAACTTTAATTTTTCAGCCCATTCCCCCTTTTAAATGCATATATCTATATTGTGCGTCCATGTCGAGCTCAGGATCTGTGGGCTGATGAGCTCAACGTGATGCGTCAGACGTGGGGCTGAATGTTAATTTCACTTCAGAGCTCACTTCAAAGAGCATGACAAGCATCTAAACGGCTGTAGGCTGAAAACAGGTGGAGGATCTGATGGTCAGTATAGGGCTGCTTTGTCTCTGGGCTTACCGAGTGTTCATTTGCATTCAAAGCGCCCCACAGAAACGTAGACACTCAGCCACACACGATTGTTTTTTAAACCCACTCCTCCATTCATGCTCACAAGTTTACTGTAAACCCAGTGACATTGTGATTCTGTGTGTGAAAAACGAGTAAACAAATTACCACACTCTGTCCTGACTTGTCTGATTGAATTTATGGAAGCTGGCCGCATCCACCCACACAGAGCTGCTGTGTGGAAAACATACGCAAGACGCTTTGGCCAGTTTCCCAGATGCCATATCCCTTTTGATTAAATCTGAACGCTGTCATCCGCAGGAGTTTTCTGATGAGGATGCGGAGGAAGACATCGATGCCCTGATGTCGGCCCACAGCAAGACTCCCAGCCGACGCCTCAGCAATGCAGTGTCTACGGTAACACCCATCATAAAGCTAGTCTGCCAAGTCCTGTGTGCTCACATACAGTGCAAACATGTGCATGCACACTCTATATAGACACTTACTCTCACCATCACCTGATGTGCGAGGGGAGTATGTTATGTTGTTGACTGTGTAAACATAGTGTGAGCTTTAGGGCCAGAGGACAGCGTCTGTCACGAACACTTTACTCTACAGCACGCTTAGGAAGTCTGCTGCATTAACATAAACTAACTTGACTTGTAGTTTATTAATGTGGAGGATTATGGTTATGTGTAAGAGAATCACATGTTTTGTAGTATATGTTAATGTAGTTTTTAATCCTTATAGTTTTTATCACATTATAGGGTCGATTAGAGGTCCAGTGTGTATACATTCATATATTCATAGGTATGATTTCATTCGATTGTAAGTCTACACTAGTATTAGTATATAATCACCTGAATATATGAATTGTTTTTTGTGTGTCATGTTTCAGTGTTTACAGTTCTAGACACCAACAGTGTTCACAGTTCTAGACACCAACAGTGTTCAGTTAGTTGCAATCTGAAACTTCACCACTAGGTCTCACTAAATCCTACACACTGGTCCTTTAACCCAATTTAACAAAACACCTATTATTTAGTTTTGGTTTGTGTGCCCAAGATTTTCGATATGTCTCTTTTTTTGTTTAGTTGTGTTTTTTACAATAGACGTGGAGCTGAGTGGAATTTCTTTGATAAGAAAATCAATTTAAATCTGCACAATTCAGTGCAGCAGCTTTAACATTTCTTTCGATTACGCGTTACTCTGTTTAATCCACAGTTCCAGTCCAAACTGGTGTGTTTTGTTGATTGTGGAGAGTAACTGGGACACTGATTTTTGAGAGATGTTGAACTGTCTAGATTAAAATTAAAATTAAAAATGCCCTCAGCGCCACAAATTCGATTTAAATCTGTTGTATTGGGATGGAGTAGAGATGATGGATATCTCAAAACATGGGCACATAAAAATCTGCATGGTTAAATTTAATATTGTCACACATATTAAACTGGTAAAAATCTTTTACTTGAATTGATTTCACAATCGGGCCTTGAGCAAAGCTGATGTTATTTTCTTCTGGACCCCCTCACAACCAACTACAAAGTCCGAAAATACATTTGACTTATACCATGTTTATTGTTAGTGTGTGTGTGTGTGTGTGTGTGTGTGTGTGTGTGTGTGTGTGTGTGTGTGTGTGGTGTGCGCGTGCTGTGTGTGTAATTTGAGAACTACATAGGTAAACAGGCGAGACAGATGTCCTGTCTGGCTGACATTTATCATGTCATCTCATAAATGACTAACTCACTCACTGAGCTGCTGTTGGCTGTATGAATGGACCTGATGAGGGACATTATGCAGATAGTTGAGTTTGTCCTTGAATCCTGCGCTCTAATATACTACCCACTGTTACATGAGTCGCTTGGAGGACTTGGGCTGGATAATGAAAGCACTGCTGAAGTAATATCAGTGTCGTTTATTTAATAGTGCAATTGTCACATAGTGTCCAAGCTTAAGAAAAACCTTCATGAAATATTTTCTTTTCATTGTGTTGCTCCAGTTTCACTGATGAATCAGAATAAGTGTACTCCAGTTTATTAGGTACACCCAGCTAAAATGAATGCAGCCTGATGCAACTTTCCTGCACTAAATCCTGCCTTCATGAAGGTCGTGATGTTCAGGAATAATTAAATTTTTCCTGTTATTTAGCCCTCATTGATATAAATGGGGTGGACACAATAACGGGCTAATAAACGCCTGTCAGTGTCAACCGGTGAGGCTGAGGGGAATGTTATTAGTTTAATAGTGTTATTGGACAAATTAAAATGTTGACCTGATGATTGCACAACAGGAGGAAGGGATCACCAATGTTCATTCGAGCAACACATCCAGCAGCTGTTGAGATATTTCAGTCTCTCTCACCCCTTTAGTCGCATCTCATGGATGACTAAAATGTATTAGAAACATTTTAAAAGTGTAAATAAATAATGATTTCGGCGACAGAGTGAACATAACGGAGGGACTACACGTGTTCCTCATTCTGACTGTTTCTGCCCTGTGTGCGTCCATGTTGATTTCACACATTATTCCAGATGAGTTGTAATCTCTGTGGTTTCCTTTGATAATCACCATGGTAACCGTGTGTAATGTGGTTCCTGCAGCTCCTCCTCGGGGGCTGGGGGTCTGTGCTCTGGGTCTGCCTCTATCACTAACACATCAAGGAGCTCAGATCTCTCTCTCCTTCTCCTTTTTTTCCTTCCTTCCTTCCTTCCCCCATTTATCTCTCTATCTCTTAAACGAATCGGCTGCTAGTCCTCCACTCCCGGCTCAGAGAGGCGGTGGGGGTACCTCAATGTCCCTGACTCGGATGCTGAGACTGTAAGTCTCCCCTTCCACGTTTGTGCATGCATTCATATTCACCAGTACATTACAGAACAGTGAAGGTGCAGCAGCACGAATATTACATATAACACAGAGGTATATTCTCAATATACAGGTACGTTCAGTGTGTGTTTGTGTTCATACTCTCCTTTTTTAATGTGATGGTAGCGACATCTCTTTCCATCTAGTCTAAGCTCCTCACATTAAACTAGTTGTGTATCATTCTGGCTCCCTGCAGGAAATAAGTGATGTAGACTTTCCAGTAGAAGAAGCACACTGTGGCTTCTGGCTTCTTAACTTCAACGCCCTCCAGACTGCAGTGTTATTATCAGTGGATTATACCAGTTATATCCCATCCAGAGATACAATAGTCCGGTTTGTCTGCTTCCCGAGAAATTTCCCTGGCAAAATTACCTGCTGTGGTTGTGATGATTTGGAGTCTTTTGTTCATGAAATAGGTTTTGCAGGTAGACAATATGAGGAGGCAGAATGTGGACGTCATGCTCTCCAGTTGGTCGTGTAAGAATTGTTAGTTTTAATTTGGCAATCTACGAGACTCAGGAGGTGCAGCTGCACAGGTCAATACACCCACTGTTCGACAGTCAATGTAAAGTTAACTTTCTGGATTTTACTGGTACTAATAAGACCATGTAATTCTCTCTTCTCTCAAACACTGGAGTTTTACTTTATTTTGCCTTTTGAGTTTTGTTTTTTTCTATTGATTATACACTTATGGTCCGTGTTTCTTTTGTCGAATCTGCTGTTATTTGACCGAGTTGTCTTTGTTGTTTGTGTTTTATTGTTTTTATTTTCAATTGTGAAGATTTGCTGCTTTTCTGTGTCTCCTGTGATAGTAAATTCAATATATTTTGGGTTCTGTTACTGTTAGTCAAAATGAGCCATTTAAAGACTTCACATTGGGCTTTAGAGAACAGTGACAGACATTTTTCACTAATTTCTGATATTTCAAAGACCAAAAGACTAATAGGTTCATCAAGAAGATAATTGGCAGGTTGATCAATCAATCTTTAGTTGCAGTTCTACACTTGCAAATACAACTTTTCCCCTTTACAACCACGCACACAGAAACAAGAGGGAATGACCAAAATATGTCAAAGTGACTTTCTTTGGAAAAAAACAGGAAAAGAAAGGAAAGAAACGCACTTAGAGAAAGTATAAAAGCACAAATCTCACCTGGAAGTCCTTCCACCTCGTCACTTAATCTCACTAAAAATAGTTTTCTGCTCCATTACACGTCCTGTATAACCCTCCGCATATATATATATATATATATATATATATATATGTATGTATATGTATAAACTTAAGGAACCTCATCTCCCCCTGTGTCTCCAGCAGTCTACAGTATACGACCTTGTACATTACCATGTATTGATACATTCAAGTTCACAAAGGGCTGCAACTGTTTTATTTCCACCATATTTCATCAGCATTCTGTAATGCTTTAGATGCTGTTGTTTTCTCCCCCCTTCTCTCTCTCCCTCTCTCTCTCTCTCTCTCTCTCTCTCTCTCTCTCTCTCCTCTCATGCTTTATACCTCATGTGTTGCTCTCTGTTTTCTTTCCCTCTCTCCTTTCCTCCTCTGACCTTCCCCCCCTCTCTATCTCCTGTCTTTGCCTAACAGAGTAGTATAAACAGCATGATGAGTATGTACAGTGAGACTGGTGACTATGGCAACGCCAGGGTGAGCGGCGAGATCCTGTTGAACATCAGCTACAGCTACAAAACTGGTGCTCTCAATGTCCTGGTGAAAGAGTGTCACAACCTGGCAACAGGAGATGAGAGGAAGCAACGCACGGACGCGTACGAGTGCACGCACACACGCTACACAAACACACATACCAAGATTTTATCAAGTCTGCAGATGTAAATGTTAACATGATGTTATTAAATGCATAGCATGCATTTTTAGTATATAAAGGGTGTCCTATTAAAAAGTGGTTAAATTATTTATTCAAGTTAAATACACAAGGCAGAAGCTCTGTTAGCTTTTTTTGATGCTACCTTTGATGGAGATACACTTATTTACTTCTATTTTGAACACACAGAGATTAAATTATTATCCTGGTAAAGAAAAAGCAACAAAAAAAAAAAACATGTCAGGATTGAATTCAAGTTCACAGTATATTGTTTTAGTTGTTTTTATAGCTAGTATGTATAGTCATTTACTGTGCTGTTCCATAATTGTTCAGACAAGCCTGTACTGTAATAAATCAGGGGCAGCTGATATTTCAAGAACAAATCATTCCCACTTCCTCCGATGGAGGCCGACTGAGTCACTGTCTTTTTCATGGCAGTTATGTGAAGACTTACTTGCTGCCAGATACATCCCGACAGAGCAAGAGGAAGACGAGCATCAAGGCCAACACCATTAACCCTGTTTTCAACGAGAATCTGAGGGTGAGTGGCTGAAAGAACTCACTCAGCACAGACTTGCGATGGTTATTCTTTGAATTCAAAGCTTTTATCTTTAAGCTCATAATTGTCCTGCATTGTGTAGTACGTAATCAGCCACTCGCAGCTGGAGACACGAACCCTGCAGGTCTCTGTGTGGCATCATGACCGGTTTGGACACAACAGCTTCCTGGGAGAGGTGGAGCTGACCTTTGACTCATGGGAGTTTGATTCCCAAATAGAGGAGTGGTACGCTCTGCTGCCTAAGGTAGGACCCAGAATCAGCAGCATGCCATCACACATGTTGCTTCATTCTTCTACGTTTTATATATACAAACCCACTCAAAGATGAGTGTTTGTGAGGATTGTGAATTATGTTTGTGTAGGTGGAGGGCAGTATAGACTCCACAATGCAGTATAAAGGAGAACTGACTGTCGTGTTGAAGTACATACCTGCAGAGAAGAACCTCTCGCTGCCTCTGGATCAAGTACAAGGTACATTTATAACTCTGATGGTTATAATATATTATATTATGTGTTCTAACTCATATTGTGTTCAACCTTTTTTTAAATATTGTTCAGCTCTACTTCTTCTACACAGTCTGACAGTATCATATTCAATATATTCTGTATCACCTCTCTATTGAAGCTATATGATGTTTACACTGAGAGAAATATTCAAATTAAAGGCTCCATGTTTTTATGACTGCATTGGTCCATCATTTTTAAATATTCAAGCTGTCTTGTGGATCATTTTATATTTATTGTAATTTCATATTTGGTAATGTTTGACCAATGTTTGTCTGCACAGCATGAATTTGTAATAATGAGTGACCCACCACTGGAAGGCTGCTTGTTAACAGTTTTATTTAGTTTGCAACATTCCCAAAGTGGAGTTATATCGCAAATTAAGCTCTTTCCTTCCCCCATCCAACCTAAAAAGGTTGGTAACATCCGCCACAATTTGATTTTAAAATTACAATTTCTGCGGACCCTGCAAGTTGTCAGGATAAACAGGATAGAGAATCATAAAAAAACACAGTCTTGCTTTATAGAATAGTTATTAGTAGTGCTGTCAGTTAAACATGTTATAAATTTTTTATCACGAGATTAACGTTCTTTTTGGCCTAGCACACTTTGTAGTTTTTTCACATGCTGTTGCAACAACTAGTAACGTTAGAAAAACTGCAACACCACACCAGATCTAGCTAGACCGGAAACAAAACAACAGGCACGCCGCACACACTTGTTTAAGAGTAGTAGACGTTACGTTTTGAGTGTTAGTGTGAAATTGAACACTACAGTATTTGCCAATGTTGTTTCTAATAAAAACAACATTTGCACAAAGCAAGCCGATCCACTTTTCCATGTTGATAAAAGCATTAAAATGAGAAAAATAATGGGACAAAAAGAAATCAATTATCGATTAATCGCGATTCAGTATTTTAATCGTTTGACAGCACTAGTTATTAGCCATTATTGACAACAGATTGTAAGGCCAGGTTGTGACTGATACTACAAACTTGATTTGTTTCTGAAGTTACACAAATAAACCTTGAACTGAAGATTGTTTATTCTCTCTCTCTGTGTCTGCTTCCCTCCCTCCTCAGTGAAGAAAGGGTTCCTGAAAGGCAAGAAGACGAGCAGCTTCACTCTGCCTAAAGGGGGCATGGTTGAGCTGCTAGTCAAAGGAGCCAAAAATCTAACTGCAGTCAAGTCTGGAGGCACTTCTGATCCTTTTGTGAAAGGGTGAGTTTTCAATAGGGGCAACAGTCGCTTGGTTTTTTGCATCTTGTAGTTGTTCTGTGTTTCTTTGTAGTCAGGTATCTCTTTGTGAACATTTTGCTCTGTGTTCATTTAGCATCTCTTTGTTGTAGTTTTGTGTCTCTCTGTCTTCATTTATTAAAACATGTTACACCCTTGGTACCCCCTTCTGACCCTGTTAGGGGAGGGAGAAGATGTGATTTTAAATAATACAGCCTGAGCATTTTAAAATATAGTTGGATCTTTTTCTATAGATACCTCCTCCCTGACACCAACAAATCAACCAAGCACAAGACGGTGGTGGAGCGACGCAGTGTGAACCCACAGTGGAACCACACCTTCACCTACTGCGGCCTGCAGCCCGGAGACCTCAACAACGTCTGCCTGGAGCTCACTGTGTGGGACAAAGAAGCCCTGGCCAGCAATGTCTTCCTGGGAGGAGTCAGGCTCGGAGCTGGCACAGGTGTGTGTTTTCTCAAGGTCAAGGTCTTGCTCAGAATTTCAAATAAGGTGGTTAAAATGTGAAATGTTGCACAGCTCTCTGTGGGCTGAAGAGATTTACTGGAACTTTGAGGAGGCTGCATATCTTCAGGAATAATCTTGTGTTGCTTAATCCATAAATGTAAGCATTGACAGCACTACTAAAAAACTAAATTAAGGACATATGCATACCAAGATACAGTCCTGAATCCTAGGTTACGCCTCACTTATCTGAAAGCCAAAGATCTTTAGTTGCACAGTTGAAAGCTGGTATTCTTCCTCGGGTTAGTGAGGTTGGCAGATTGAAAACTTTTCAGAAGGAAAACAAATTGTGAGCTGTGTGATTTGGAAGAAGTGGAAAGTGAGACCCATTTTCTTTTGTATTGTACACACCACAGTGACTTAAAGTGTCTATTTTCAACGAAAATGGCTCAATATAACCCAGAAACATTCTGGCATACAGATAGAAAAAAAATACTTACATTTCGGGAAATACGCTTATCCACTGTCTTGCTGATCGTTAGATGGGAAGATTGATACCACTCTCATATATGTCCCTTTAATTTCAAGCTAAAACCAGCAGCCAGTTATCGTAGCTTATCATAAAGACTGTAAACAGGGAAAACAATTAGCTTTGGCTCTGTCCAAAGGTAACACAATCCACCTTTCAGAACCTCTAAAGCTCACTAATTAACATGTTAAATCTTTGCTTAATCCGTACAAATCCGCAGCACATGACCCCACATAAAACCACAATTATGCTAAGCTAATCTAACTGGCTGCTGGTTTTAGCTTCATATCACCGTACAGACAAGAGAGGGGCATTGATCTAACTGTCGGAAATAAAGTGAATAAGTGTCAAAACTAATTCTTTAAGAGACAAGATGGACTATTTATTATATATATTATATATTATATAGTATAGTATATATTATATTTACTATTTATTAAGATGGATATTAGTATTTATTCTGATTCTCCAGTAATGTACAATATGTAACTGTTTGATTTTGACAGGAAGGTCTGAAAATCTGAAAATTATTCAAAATGATTTTACTCTATTATTTATCTGTAATACATTTTGTTATATTATAGTTTGAACATTTATATGCCGTATTCTGGATCTGGCTTTTATGAACATGATATGATAAATTAATTAACTACAAATATAAAATGAACTAGAGATATCACTTCATCTACTATCCGAAAACTCTAAGTGTTGTAATGTCCTCAGGTCTCCCTGGTAGCTCTAACAGAGTAAAACAAATGTTTATATATTTGTCTCTTGTCTCCCCTCAAGGCAAAAGCTATGGGAATGAGGTAGACTGGATGGACTCATATGGGGAGGAACAGCGGCTGTGGCAACGCATGATTGAAAACCCAGAAGTCCCCCATGAGTGTACTCTGATGCTGCGATCCAGCATGCGCAGGTCCAACTCATGAGCCCGGGCTGAAACACAGAGAGGATAAAAGAGAGCAACAGAGGGAGAGGAAAAAGAGGAAGACGTGATATGAAGGCATGAGGAGAGAGCAGGAGAATGGGAACGGTCAACAAAGGGAACAGAGACTGTCCCTCTCCCTGCGTCTTTCCCCCCTGTGATGCCCTGTTCAGATCCGTTCTCCTGTCCAGAACAGCCAGTCATGCCTTACACACTCATCCACATGTGCCCCTCCAACCCTCCACCTGCCCTCCAAAGCATCTAGTCTTGACCAAGCACTGCTGTTTACTGCTGTATATGAAAAACATGTGTTGTATGTAACTTACTGTCCTTATCGAATAAGCACACTGTGTGACTCCCGACGTGTCCATCCTCGTCTCTGTGATTGAGGTACCAGAGTCGTATCTGCATGTAGTTACAGCTGACGGAGACCATTTGTAAGGCATTAGATGAAGCACCGATCAATAATGTAGAGACTTAGACATTCCCCCGTATAAGCAGGCTGCATCCTGGTCTGAAGCACATGATGATATTGAGATTTATCCCCTTAGAAAACTGTTGTGTGCAGAGGTAGAAAGTGACTTCTTCTTGTAAACACTGTCTTACTCAGTGGTTCTCTGTAAAATTATAATAGTAGCACTTTTGAAGACTTCTCAGGGTAGAAACTTTATGATCAATGTGGAAGGAACATCCTATTTTATTATCAATCACCAGTTCATTTCCAGTGCTCTCCAAAGTAATGACCATTTATTTATAAGCTTTTGTTCAGATCGCTTAATGAGGGAAAATATTATCTACGCAAAATGTGTTAAAGTATTCTCTTATAAAGCTACTCTTTTATTCTTGCCTGTCACACAGTAGCTGAACACATCAAAAGTCTTGTATACTAAAGTATAAATACTGATTTTAGAATATAGTCAAGAAACTAGGACTGCAACTAACTTTAACTTCTTCAAATACTTGGTTAATCATTTATAAAGTGCCAATTTACTAGAGCTGGAGGAGATATATTAAAATTTTAAAAGCTTGTGCGGCTCAACCAGAAGTCTGAAATATCTCAAAGACTATTGGATGGATTGTGGTGAAGATCTGTTCCCAGAGGACAGAAACCACTGATTTTTCCATATAGTGCCACCAGTCAGCCAGATGTGGTGAAATATCTCAACATCTACAACATCTTGATTAAACTTGGTAGAGATATTAATGGTTCCTAGTCAATGAATGCAAATGGCCAACCTACATTGCCCTCAAGCACCACCATGAGGTTTTGAACAACTATTGGATGAATTGCTACGTACGTTGGGACACACATTCATATTCCCCTGAGTTAATTGTAATAACTTTAGTGATTCGCTGATGTTTCTTAACAACATCATTAGTGAAACTTCTTATTTGCCTAATACTTAGGTTTTACAATAAATAAGCATCAGTATGTTAGCATTGTTTTTGTGAGCATGTTAGCATGCTGAAATTAGCAAGTAGCTCAAAGCCTAGTTGTGCTTAAACCTGCTACGAGGAGTTTGTAACTGGTTATGAAACAGTCTAATAATTGAATACTGATGCCTTTATATGACATACATAAGCACAGGAGACTGTCCGTTTAGCCGAAGATTGGCTATTTCTATGTAGTTATTAATGCCTGCCTCCAGGGCAGATCTCCTCAAAATCAATGACACAAGTTGGTAGAAACATTACCACTTTTGTCCACAGGGGCCGCCAGAATCAACACAAAAAGAAAGTTCCTTGAAGGGGCTTTAAGTACAGTCACACAGATCCACCAGCATGGTTGTAGACTCTTCAGTGTTGTTGCTCAATGAATGAGAACCAGTTAATTGAAAGAAAATAGTCTGCAGTTTATTTTCTGTTGATCGACTAATTGATTCTCAGCACAAGTACAAGTAGTTAGTTACTTTCCACCTGTGGTTGTCAGAAAAAAAAAAAACCTAGACAGAATACAATTTAGATTAGCTTCAATGTAAATTTACATAGCACTGTATCAGTGTGATAATAGAAACTGCATGGTATTAGATACAACAGAGGTAGAAGAACAAAGAGTGTGTAAAGCACTGATAATGACTTTAAATTCAGAAGAAGTGTGATTTTAAGTGCGTTCCCAGGAACCCTGAGATGGGGGCTGTGTGTTATAGAGTGAGTCAGCACTGAGGCGAGCTGCCTTCATCTCAGGGGGAGCCTAATAATGAGTCAGTGACAGTCACCTTGTCCCTGTTGCCCAGGGCTCTGCGATCCACCATCCTGTGATGAATCACACAATTCACAAAAAACCATTCTCAAGTTAAAACCTCTTTTCATGTGGAATGCCAATTTTGTCTGCTTGTCCTTGGCAAACCCTCTGCTCAGAGCTCTCAGAGCCAAACAGTTTTACACTGCACAATTATAGTAATAACACATGGTGTTCACTGTACAACATACGTTAGATCAGATGCTTGTGCAATACCTGATTACTGAAGAAACTCTTGATGTACAGCATGTACTATCTCTATTGTGTCTGGTTTCCAAGCATCAAACTCACTGTGTTCAAGCCTATTTTGTCCCAAATGTGTTACAGGAATATTTTGAAATAAACACACAAGTTTCCATACACAGACTGTTGGCCTGTTTTGTTGAATAGTATTTCTAATTTAAATGACTGATTAAGTGTTGGCTCTTTAAGTGTACAGCGAGAAAACCAGTTTGTGCTTAACATTTAATATACTGACACTTTTTCTGTCCAAAAAGTCCTTAAATTATTCATTTAATACATACAAAATACTTTTAAAGACCTTCTGAGCACAAACATGAAATAAAAAAACAGAATCTAATCCACAGAGGTGAAAGTAACAAATACTTTGTTACTGTATGTACATGTAGTTTTTTTCAGGTATCTGTACTTTACATGAGTATAATTATTTATTTTACTTTTTACCTCCTACATTTTTACTTAAATATCTGTACTTTCTACTCCTTACGGGCTAGTTACTTCAGTTTTAATGCAGAGAGGAATTACTTACTTATTTTGGATCACACACAACAGATGTAACAAGACACAACAAGAGAGGGAGACTCAACCCTATTTTAAGTTTTAGTTTTAGTTAGCTTTGCACAGAAACAGCTGGTAAAGATGTCCTTCAAGAGAATACTTTTTACTACTATACTACTTTGCCTTTTTTGTACTAGGTCTGAGTGAGGAAATTGCTTTTAGACACTTTTTGTGAAATAGAAATAATGTATTTATATTTTACATTTTATTCTAAAAAAATGTCTTTAAATGTTTTGGTGTGTGAGTTTTGGGGAAGTATTTTCTGAATGACACTCACTATGCAATCAGGCTCAGGTATTGTCTCTTCATTCGTCCCCTTGTTGTTTCTTTTTGAATTTGTCAAAAATCAACATTACACCCTGCTCGTCTACATGTAAATGTCTGTCTGAAATTTGCTCTTTTGCAAGATTTCAGTGCTTTTCCTTCACGAGCAGTGTTTGTTGAGTACATCCGATTGAGCACACCACTATCTCTTTGGACTTGCAAGAGAAAATACCTACCAGATAAAGAGGTTTGTTTCCAGTAATTAAGTGTCTCTATCTTAAAAAAAAAAACATACTTACCAACTAAAGGGCCCAGTGTATAACATTTAGGAGGACCTATTGGCAGAAACAGAATATAAAGATGGAGATTTTTACAGCCCATCCTTTCCTCCATCTTCAACGTCTCTCTTAACCTGTCCTCAAACAATCATGCACATCTCTTGCACTCACTTTGACACACTGAACATCACGTCCTCAATGATAGACATATTTAATCAGTGTCTTGTACAATCAGACATAGATGTACAGTGTACAAACAGAGCCGAAGCACTGTCCTGTCCTGTACATAAAACACACGCAGTATTCCATAAAGTGTCAGAATACATCATTATTGGAGGTGTGAGACATAAATATTAGACAGGTGAAGAGTTTTCCAGTTCATACAGTAAAAAGACTTTTTGTACAAAATAGTAAAACATAGTTCTGCTTTTGAAAATATTATTAATAATAATAAAACATACAGATAGACAAGACACAGGAATCAATATGATTGTAATGTACTGTATGACCCATTCCATTTAATAACGTCTTTTAATAAATCTTGCTTCAGATCAGCGCCCACACACATACACACTCACACACACACAGACAGACAGACACACTCACACCTTCTGGAGACAGGACTAAATGAGTTCAGGTAGGAGTGTGTGACATGTGGACAGAAGAACAGAAGATATGAGTAGGTCCTGTCTGCTGTGACCAAGGAGGAAAAGGATCAAAGATGAGCTGAAAGTCCATGGTTTTATGATTGACAGGTCTGGCCCGCTTCCTGCTGTAGCACCATCTCATCCTTGCGGAGGGGGAAGGTGTCGATGGTGGTGAATAACTCAGCCGCTGTGATCGGGAACGGGTAGCGTTGCTTGTCCATGCCCTGCTTGTCTACCAGCACCATTTGGAAAGACCTTTGAGGAATCTGGAGCTGTAACCTAGGAAACACACATCAGCTCAGTAAGCAGCTGGAATGAGCCAGAGACACGTTACAACTGTATGTGTGTATGTGTGTGTGTGTGTGTGTGTGTGTGTGTGTGTGTGTGTGTGTGTGTGTGTGTGTGTGTGTGTGTTTGTGTACCTGAGCTGCAGGGCCAGTCCTGGGGGCAGCAGCATGTGTCGAATTCGGCCGATCTGAGCCGGGTAAGTCCCAACCAGCTCGATTACTGTCACATGCCTCAGGTCCAGTCCACACTGAGCGTGCTGTTCCCAGAAAAAGAGAAAGATACAGAGCGAGAGAGAGTGAGAGACTGATCTATAACTTTTGTTGCTTTATTGCTTTGTTATTGATTCCTGTGCAGGCAAAAGAATATAAAACTATCGATGCCAACAAAAGTTGGCATCAATAGCACAAGAGCTGCAACTAACACTTAGTTTCATGTTTAATTAAAGTCCACCTCCGCTCAGAAATGTGTTTCACTTATTCTTACTCCACCTTGATGTTTAAGCAGAATGATGTATGAGTTTGACACTAAAACTAAAAGGCTGTTTTCACATTCATCTGCTGAAGAGAGAAAGTTTGTGGATATATATTTATACCAAAATCATATCTTTTCAAATTAGCTGAGCTATTCCACAATATAGGTACCCCCTGGGGTACAAGTTATGAATCAGTGATGTACGACTACAGCTACAGTTTGTGCGTGCTTGACTGCAGATTTGTGACACAAGGAATAGATGGGTAGACTTTATTGTGCCCAAAGGGGACATTTGTTTCCAGAGTATCCTTAGTATTAAAAAAAACTAAACTAAAGCAAGAGAAAATAAAATCTGCCACTGCATTAACATTATTTTAAGCAGTTTGCAGTAAATATGTGACTGTATCTTGAAAAAACTAATTGCTAATGTTGCTAATCTTCACATACAGAAGAAGGAACTAAAGATTTTTGCCATTTTTGCTTTGAAATTTACCAATTACCAAATAATTGATAACGAATTTTCTGTTGACTAACCAACTAATCGGCTAATCAATTCAGCTCTGAGTAGGACAAACCCCTGATAACTAGCTGACTAGCAGGGCTGGTCGCTCAGGTTGTCCACACACTGTCAACTGATAAGCAGTCACTTTGAGAGGCCCGGCGTTTAAAGACAACTCTGACTTAATGTTTCCTGACAGGCCGGCGAAACATCCAGCCCCAGAATAGTCTTATCAAAGCCAGTGTCAGTATCGTTTATTCATCGCCTCAACGTTTTCTGTTCATCTGGACACCTCCGACCCCCTTTTTATTTGTCTCACAGCTTTGTCCCACTTAGGCAGCAAAGCGAGAAGAAGATGCGATGTTGTCTGTGAGCAGCAGTGGAGATCAAGTGAAGTATTGACTCTTTAACGCTTCTTCACTCCTTTGCTTCACACACACAACTCATGTTCTCCCTGAGAGTCATGCCTCACCTGTAAGTTAGTCATCTGGAATCGGTAATTATGATTGGCAGCCGTCGGGGCCGAGATAATGAGGAGCCGTCGTTTCTCATAGAACTGGTCCAGCAGTGCAGCAGCCGAACGCACTCCCACGTTAATGTTCATGGCTGTGATGACATTGAATGTACAATTAAGTGATATAAGATATGACGCACTGTACAAGAGTGCAAGATTTAATACAACACAATATTACAGTGAGAAGCTTCATGATTCTTTTGGGTTGTTGAGCAGATGCAATCAAACAGGAAACTCGTGCACCATCGCAGTGTATTTAACAGTGAACTGAACATGCAACATTGACTATAAATTGCTGATGGTCCGTTGCACAAGAGCTGCAACACAGTCTCTCCCATCCGCTACTTTTTCATGTCTCACAGATACAGACATTCAATGGAGGGGCCTCCAGTATTGATTTTTCTAATCGATGGATAGCAGAGAGGCCCATTTTCTCCTCCACTGAGCTTCTCACATGGAACCAGTTCAGCACAGGTAGGCACACTTTACATAAGACTGCTATGGCACAGGACAGCACTGAGCAAGTTTAAAATAAATGAGAGCTCAGACGACACATTGAGAGTGAAACATGGAAACTGTTGCCAGAATGGACAGACACCAAGTCAATTAATACTACATGTACCAAGACAATGGGAAAGCAGACCGAGGGAAGTGTATGATTTATAAAAACATACTTACAGACTGAAACTACAGACAAAACAAAATGAAACTGAAAAATGTATATTATAATATTCACATTGGGTCATAATGCAACACTGTTGTTATGATCATCTATTCTTATTATCGAGTCGTCTTTTATTTTTAGTTTGTTTTTTTGTTTTGTTTCTACAGTAGCCCAGAACAGACAAACCAAACACTGGCTATAGATAGGCCCTTTTGCATTTGGCCACCATAGTTTTTCCTACGTCGCCCTTCCCAAGTCATCAAATACAGATGCGAGCAGTGTTCAGTTAGTTGCTATCTGCAACTTCACCACTAGATGCCACTAAATCCTATATATTATGTATACCTAAGTATTTGGTTTTGCAAACTACTATGAGCAATTCAAAATAAATAAGTAAGAAAAAAATAAAATATTTGTTTGTGTAAATACGTACGTGCACAGTTTGTGTCTGTGCCAGACCAGGTGAGTCCATACTGACACACTCTGGCAGCGCTGCCCTGCAGCTCGTAGCCACCTGTGCAAGTGAATTCACAAGTGGCCCCGTAGTTGTCTCCGTCACTGTCACACTTCATATAACCGTTGTCTGGGGGAAACAGTGGGCTGCAGCGACGCACTACATAGAAAGAGAGCCACATTAAATATAAAACATCAGTAACAGGCAGAAAGGTGGAACTAAAGGAAAGAAAAAAGAGGAAGATTGGCATTCAATGTGTGTACACAAATAGAAATTCTAGTTTGAAGAGTTTGATTAATCCACAGGATGAAATGTATTTTCTGGTGATCTCCTGACTTTTCAACTAGCACCACAATCAAGTTAAAATTCAAATTTGTCCAATTTGGTTTATTTTAATCAGCTTTACCATGCTAAACTAATTATATGGTGAACATAGCAAACCTTATATCTGCTTTTCATCAGCATGTAGCTCAAAGTTCTGCTGTGCTTGATTACAACCTCTAGAACCAGTCTATAAACTACTAGTGTGACTGTAGACTCTAAATAAAGTACATCTACATCAGATGAAATAGAAACTTTAAATTAAAGATTGTGTAAGCAGATGAATGCTAATCATCTTCTGGTCTTGTGACCAGATTTAGCAAACAATGAGGGGGCTTTCATATATAAATCTGAATAAATCTAAGACCAATTTGGCCATGCAGACAGTAGAGTTGTAAATGCATCACTTGACTCTCTAGCCTTGAACTAGAAGAATCAAGCTCACACTTCTTTATCATTATCATGTCTTAACTCACAGGCTGCATCCTTTCAAAGTTGTATTTCTACACCGAATACACCATAACTTCCTAGTAAACTTTTAAATTCAGAAAATATCACATGACCACACATAGGTGGATACTTGAAGTGAACAAATGAAAAAAGCTCCTGCTGATGAACCAAATAGTGGAATTGTGATCAACAAAGCAATGATGTTATTGACAAAGAATATAAGTTATATAAGTTATATGGATATATTTTCCACTGACTTTGCTACACTCTTGGGCTGTATTTATTTTATGTCACAACTTGTACTGTAAACTTGAAACTCTGAACTTCACAGGTCAATAAAGGTCACCAGGACAGGGAGGGAGGACCTGCTCATTTGTGGAGAAGTGACGAACCTCTGACCTCCTTGCAACAAAACAATTTTCTACAGGTATCAGTTAAGGCCAGAAAATGTGGTACTGTTTAATTTTACTGGTCCATAATTTGCAAAGAATTTCCTAGTAACTTTCCAGAAAAAGAAAAACTATGTAATTTGGTACTAATTTTAGGGAACTTGTGGGAGTATCCATGAGCAAAAAGCTCCATTCAAACCCAAGTAAGTGGTTATACCCCATTTATGTTGAATTGTACTCTTGCCTGTAGACTAAAAGATATCTAGGTTAGAATAAATTAGAGGTGTAACAAGGTGTAATCTATTTTTCCCATTATTAGTACCACATTAGGAGAGACTTCTTGGATATAACCTATAAAAGAAAGTCTTACCGAAAATCCTGCGGCACACAGATTATCAAAAAGCTTCTGTGTCTTACTCTGCTTTTAGAAGCTCTCACCTCGCACTCTGACAGTAAAGCGGCAGGATCCTTTGTTCCCTGCGCGGTCAAACACAGTGTAGGACATCTTATGGAGCCCCTCTGGGAAGTCTGATTTTGAAGGTTTCCCTTTCAGGATAACACTGCAAAAGATAGACTGTGTTTTAATCTTTCACTGTGATCTCTCTGCTCCAGGTGGGATAACCTACGGGGCTAAAACAGACTGAGTGCACTGAAACAAAAAGGGTGGTGGAGATGAGACTGACTCTGTGAGGATGCCATCTGCAGTGTCTACACCCTCTGGAGTGTCCCAGGTTACCCTCGCTGTCAGTTTTCCTGGTTCTGCCCATTTATCCTTCACATTAGGACACTTGATTTTTGGAGAATCCATATCTACAGAGAGAGAGGAAGAAACAAAGAACGAAAGAAATGAAGAATGAAACAATGGGTCATAATGATTTCAGACAGAAGTAGATAAAGGCAGCGTTTAATTTCTAGCCAGTCAATGACAGGTTTGATCACCTGTGGACAGCGTGCTAATTAAGCTACCACCAGCTGACTTTTTATAGTCTAATTTTAAAACAAGAATCTTGAAACAGATAAATAAATAAATAAATAAATATGCACGTGACTGCAACAGAGGTGATATCACATTAAAAGGCTCAAGCTAAATGTCCCAGACAAAGAGTCAGCATCCAAGAAATGGCAAAAAAAGAAACAAAAAAAGAAGAAACGTTAGTTATTCCTGATATTATAAAGTATAACACAGATAAATGTTAGATCAGATTGTCATTTTGTTGCAACCTAACTCTCTTTTGTAGCTTTTATTCTTGTTTTTAACGTTATAGACTTTTAGGTTTGGCAAATATAATGCTCTTTTGCCTTGGAAGTACTACTGTAGGCTACAAGCTATTTAGCCATAAATGCTAACTACTGCAGTCACATTAGAGCAGATAAACACACAATCCATTGTTGGATTTTTGGTTTTAGAAAAGCTAAAAGAAGACTCCACTCTAAACTCATACAAAGAAAACCAAAGCTTCACAGACCGGCTGTTACTGGTTACAGTTGCTGAGCGATTATTAGACAATCATTGTTTCAGAGCGCTGGTTTTATCAAACAGAAAAACCTTTAAGTATTTGGTATATATGGTATTTGTTATCCCTAGGGGGTCTGTGCTTAAAACTGGATAAAAAGTCAGTTTATGACAACCACAATGCTGACACAAGCACAAAGGGGAAGCTGTTGAAACGCACCGTTACCTGAATAAAATGAGAGATTTCTTTGGGTTTGAACATTGTTGGAAACATTGTGGATAATGGAAGTACACGACTCAAAAAATATATAACATAGGTTTAGTGTTTTTAGACTTTCTACTGCGGGAAGGTTACATATTATAGCTTTAACAAATATTTAACATAAGAAAGAAACCACTCTGTCGTTATAGCAGCTCCCTCCACACAACATTCCTGCAGCACCATTTTACAACAAAAACACCTGGACTTTTCATTCTCCCACAGTATTCAGAGTCTAATGATCAAGACAGAGACACATTTTTAAGCTGAATGAAAAAGTAAGGTGAATCATTACTCTGAGGAAAGGCTGAATCTGTCCGTACAGACAGACGTTGGGGACTCAATGTCCCTTTATGAACAGCACTGTTAGGACGAGATAGCCTGTGAATGCGTCTGTACACACACAAACACTGTGTTTGTTCACCGTCACCAAGGTCGCAAGACTATTCAGCCATTAATATGATCCACTAAGTGCAGGCTTTATAACTCAGCTTTTCATGATAAAATAGAGTCGAGTCATTTTCAGGCTCAGACGCTACAAAGACGAACCACAGTATGTGTGTGTGTATATATACATGTCTACATGAGGCCTGTTTTTTATCCAAACAACAATCACGTAACCTTCTATTATGAGGAGCACTTTCCGTCATAGACCTTTTTCCAGGAGTCTGCAGCTGACATTATGTCTTAAGCAAGTAAATTACCTGTTACATAGATTTTTATAATGCAGATAAGTAGTCTGCCGGCTCCAGTTCTCTGTGGGAGATGAAAGAACAACACACACGCAGTCTTACCGACACAGGTGGGGACCCCGGCGCTCCACACCTTGCTGTACTGGCAGGTTGCCGTCTTTTGGCCCTTCAGACTGAATCCAGGGGAGCAGAAAAACTCACAGCGAGAGTTGAAGTAGGAGCCGTCCGAACACTTGTAGCCACCGTTAGCCGGCATGTTCAGCTTGGGACAGCGGATCTCTGCCAGAGAAACATCAGTGTTGATGGAAGGCTTTCTTTGACTTAAGGAATGATTACTAGTCAATCTTGATCTCAACCACTCACCGTTGGTCTTCTTTAATATGCTGGAAATAATGCAGTGTTTTTAATTACACTGATCTAATTGATTAACACTAAACTGTCTAGGAACTTGAACTGATTCAAGCAGTGATAATAGCAGTAGTAGTAATGGTAGTAATCTTAATTACAATGGCCTCTCTACAACAGCCATGTTTTCACCCCATCTTTGAGCGCAGCCATTCGAAACAGAAATAAACACTTGTTTTCCGACATTGTACAAACTAGCTTTTTAGAGCATAACCTCAACAGCAGCAGCAGCAGCAGTAGCAGTAGTACTAGTGGCAATAATTTTCCATTAGTATCTTATTTAATTACTGTTCAGAGGGGATTTCAAACCCTGCCAAGAATAGACTTCAGGGAGAAGAAATTGATCCATGTAATTGTTTACAAATTTGTTGCATAAACATGAACTCATTTTTAAAATCCTAAACATCAGCTACAGGCAATTTTAATTAATTAAAACGCTTCCTCTGGAGAATATCCAAACTCTCTCCCCTGATTGAAGATGTGGTTCAAAGTCATCCAAGTGGACGTATTATTTCCTGGGCCAAGAATGAACTTGCTCAAAAATGTAAGAACTATAATCAGGAATCCACGCGAGGCATAGTATGTAGGTGCATGCGTGGATGTGTGTTCGTGTTCAGATGGAGGTCAGTTCCTACCTCTGCAGGCGTAGTTAGAGGACCAGTGTTTGCTGGCCATACACACCACCTCCGAGCTCTGGGCCTCGTATCCCTGCTTGCAGCGGATTTTGCAGCGTGTCCCCATCACGTTCCTGTAGTGCTCTCCTCTGGGTGTGCGACAGCTCACGTCACCATGTTTCACCTTAATGGGCGCACACCACGGTGTCCCTACAAATGGAGCAAAAGATAACTGCGCTGACCTTTTCTTCAGTGCATCAAGGCAATTCTGTTTTTTTATACGGTACGACTTTTGGAGAGGGAGAGACTGTTGTTAATATCGGTATTCAATAATAAGCACTTACCTGAAGACTGTTGAAGCTGAGAAAGACTTTGTGTGAAAACCCACCCATCATCTGAGTTCAGACAGATGCGGTGGATTTCTCATTACCTTATCTGCGACTTCCCATAATCCAACAGTGTCTCACTTGAGCAAAAGACAGATAATGTGTAGAGAGCTCTGAGGTTTCTGAATGTGTGTGATAGGGTGACAGATAAAGGTCTGTGATGAGTGCAGCACTTTATTAGCACGTACTGACTTTAAGTATTAGCTTTTTGTTGCGCTATCGCTCCAAAAATTAGTCCGTCCCTTACATGACATTAGACTGATGACAGACATATTACTCCCCAGAACAATAAGGACCTCATTCAAGGGACAGTCAGATGAGGAGATTAATACTAATTACTTGTCAGTATGGTAAATGTGACGCTACAGCTAACAGCAGCTTAGCTTTGCTTAACATAAATACTGGAAGCAGGGTGAAACAGATCTTAATTCACTAATTAACGCAATATAGCCATTATGTGCCTGAATGTGCAGTATAGCTTTATAGATTACTTGAGTTTCTGGATTAAACAAATGGGATATAATAATTGAATAGTCATCTTTATTGGCTTTAGAGGTGTTGGTCGATGGAGAGCCAGCTAAGATAGCTCCTGACTGTAGATATACTATATTTGATTGTACAGATATGAGAGTGTTATTGATCATCTAATTCTCATCAAGAAAGCGAACAAGCGCATTCCCCAAAATGTCAAACTGTTCCTTTAAGACCAGACAACGGCATTTGTTTTCAGCTTTTCTCCTCCCATGGCGGATACCTCTACCCATCTCTAAAACCTTGTATAAAAAAATTTGTTGTTTGATGCCAAGTTTGAGGGGCCGCAAGGTTTTTATTCCATTACAGGCAAATCAAAATCTGCATTTTATTTCCTGCTGGCTCAAGTCAAACACTCAGCTCTGTGCACCAACACACACACATCCAAGCACACACTTGGAGAGGAGAATACACACTAGTTTAGGCTAATTTCCAGTTGGAATTAAAACGAGTATTCATTACACAGCAATCCTCCCTCACTCGCTCTGAGCGTGTGTGTGTGTGTGTGTGTTGGCAAAGTCTCTACAACCACTGAGTAAGAGAAAATAATACTACATTTGAGCATTTACACAAGGGGAGAGTTCGGTTTGGCCTGGACGATAATGTTCCCCATCTAACTGACCCCGAATTTAAAGCTGGAAGCTACTTTGACGTAACTCAGTCAGCTCACAAAACTGGCTGAACTGACTGACGTTGAATTATTACTCTTTAGAGACTCAGTGAAATACAAAAATAAATGTTTCTAATTGTAATCCTGTCACCCTGTGTTAGCTGTCCAGATATATTTTGTTATGTACCATATAAACATTATGGTATTAACCCAAATTCCCCCTATTATCTTATTATTTTATTGTAAAATACTGAAATAATTTTGAAACATCTTGAACTTGGTGTACATAAATGAATTTAATGGGATTTGGTGCAACTAGCTACACACTTGATCGTGGGTCATAGCAGCAAACGGATCTTAGGTCAGAGTGTTTGAAATATATGTCAAACACACACAAGTCATCAATATGAGCATTATATAGTAATTGTAGAGTAGTAATAGTAAACATTAAAATATGTTAATTACTATTATACAAATGAATCCAATTAAATATTATTTGAAGCAACAAGCTAGCGGGTTGTAGTAGCTAGCACGCCTGTAGCGGCTAACAGAGGTCACAGGTCATGTTTGAAAGTGAAGCAGAAACATTTTGTTTTGTTTACGTTTTGCTTTAATTAATTTATTTCTCCGGCGCCCTCCTGTTTCTGATCAGCGTTGGGGAGAGGTGTGGGTACAAGCTAACGGCCCTGAGCTCTGTATCATATTTCATTCAAAGGGCCATGTGTAACATTTAAGAGGATCTATTGGCAGAAACTGAATTTTTGTGTTTTTGTTACCGTAGAATGAACTGTAGTGAGTTTTCGCAGCCACCATAGATCACCACTCCTACACGTGTGAAAGCCTGTTCTCATTCCCAGGTTGTCTCTTGCAGCTGTTTAGATAATGACACCTTCACTGTGTCTTTAAGACCGGAGGAACTTCATAAATGCTCAAAGATTTGATCTTGACGTAATGAATCCCTCCCTAATTTAAAATGTGAGTCACTCAGTGTTCCATGTGTGCATGTACTGGCGGTGTCAAACTGAGCATGTAGTCACCTTTATATCTACGAGAATACCAGTCCTCGTCATCTCCGTAGGCATACTGTCCTGACCCTGGGGATGAAAGAAAAGAAGAAAAAGCAACTAATACCACGAAAAGAGCTGCATCCAAGATGTTAGGCAATGTTTGGAAGCATTGTCCTGGGCTGACCTGTGCAAAACAGCACCAAGAACAGGCTCGAACATATTGCTTAACTTTTCATTTGAACCAGACTCTGGGGGGGATATGGATCTTTTGGACAGACCACATGCACAAGGAATAAGTCTCAAAAGATCCTCTTTTCCAGCTGGGTTGGATAAAGGAATCTGTTTAACACAAAGATTCATTCTGCTCAATCCAGTGGAGGTTTTTTATTTGTTGTGGCTCTCTACTGCCATTTGGTAGAAATGGAAGGAGTGAAACTATTTTGAAACTTTTTGTTCCAAAAGAGCTCCTATAGATGATACTTACCATTTTAAGTCAACATTAAAAGTGAACACATCACTCAGAGCATCCAAAAAGAACTTAGATATTTTCTCAGAGGTGGCAGTTGCAGAGCCGGTGGAGGACACAGTTGGGTGACACCAATGTGAGGAGAATTGTGATGAGCAAGGAGGATTGTTTTAGGAAAGAGGATGAAGGGGGAGCAAGTCAGGGCGCCTTACAGAAAATGAGAGGAAAGAGGTGAGGAAGGGGTTAAAGCAGGGGGAGGGGTGTTTAGCCTTGGCTCTGAGATGTTATGAACCCCGGTGTGAATGTGTCCTCTGTTCAGGATCCACAAGTGAAGGAGTGTTTCTCCCTCCTGCAGCTTCATATATCAGCCGCATGTTGGTCATTGAACCCGATACTATGAGCACATCTCACGTCCTCCTCCCCCCCCAAATTTCTCATCATGGCTTTTCTGTCAGTTTAATAAAAGCTGTCTGGACCAAAATGCCACAAGCCATCTAATACACACACATACACTCACACACAACAAGCTCTGAGGTTTTAGCAGTCAGATCACACCACATGGATTGTACAGAGCAAACCCACATACTGGGTGAGTCAGATTTTGCTGTCCAATGGGAAAACTTTAGTGTCTGCTTCTTAATGGGGGGAAGGAGGCAGGCAGAGAAAGGTATGGAAAAGTAATTACAGGTGTGTGTGTGTGTGTGTGTGTGTGTGTGTGTGTGTGTGTGTGTGTGTGTGTGTGTGTGTGTGTGTCCGTAAAAATGAACATTATTTAGAGTCAAATGCGGCAGAAAAATGATCAGTTCTGTAACAACTTGCAGCCATTCCAGGCAAACAGGATACAACAATTTACACCACAGCAAATGGGAGCTTTTTTAAATCGGCTGTCAGGTGTTACCACAAACAAAGATTTACTTGTTCTCTCTTCTTCAGATACAAATCACCCAACTGAAGAAAGTTTTAAAGTTAAAATCCTTAAGACATTTTTGATACTACCGTAACACCATTTATTGTATTCATATTCTGTAATTACTTCTCTATATAGGGATGGGAATCGAAAACCGGTTCCAAATGATCTGATCCATCAGAATCGTACGTCACCAAGCTTCAATCAATTCCTTTTATCAATACCTGCATGTTTTCCTGACAGTTGAGCACTAAAAAACACTGTCTACCCTGTGTTCAAACAGTTGCATTGATGGTAAAAACCTGTGCAGGCCTACTTTTTTCCCCACACAGAAAATTGATCAGGAATCAATAAGTGAATTGACAAAGAATAACCAGACCAAATGACCAATAACCAGAATAAATAATGGTACTGGTCTCAATAAAGTCTTTCCCATCCCAGTCTCTATACAGAAGTTAAGTGGCGGAGTCTACCATCCTGCTCTGGATTCAAGTTGCCTTCACATGTAAGAGAGACTGACAGAAAACGATGCACAAACTTAATCCAAATATTTTTGTATAATTCATAACAGCTGCACTGTTTACTTTTCACTCTCTTAACAGTGTCAGAGCTGTATTAAGTTACAATTATAATTCAAAGCAAATATTTCCATCTCCAGCTGCTTCACATTAAAAGCATTCAACTGGCAAAACACAGGCTGACTTTTATTGTGAAGCAGTCACAGGAAACACAACGTATTTATCAGTGCGGTTAACCCCAACTGCAATCGTACATCAAAAATGTGGCTATTGTTTCTTCTGTGGATCATTTTTAAATTTTTTATTGGAGTAATGGAGTAAGAAGCAGGCAGAAGTGACATCCTAAACACTTACAACTCCTCAGCAAGGTCACAGCTTCACTGTGTCCTGCTGTTTGGGTGGAAAACTACTCCCGTTAGGGTTAGTGTGCAGCATGAAATCAGACCGTGGTTGCTGATGTTATGATGAAATAAGGGCAGATGTCTTTATTAAAACATTGAGTTTGTTTGGCTGCAATGCAAACAGATACAACAGCTGCTCTTCTGCCACTCAAGGAGTGTTTGCTGTAGTGTTACACCACAACCACGGGTGTCACCAAATCAACCTGAAAAGGATTTTAAGTTAACTCGCTCACAAACTCACTCGTTCACGTTCAGCAGGCTGCAGACTTACCACAAGGGTCATTGCATACATGCCAAACTGCACAATAGGAAACAGTAACAGCAGCATTAACACTTAAAAATGTAGTTACCTCCTACAGGAAAAAAGTAAAAGCTGCTGTAGTTTTGAATACTAGCGCCACCTGCAGGCAATGGGTGTTACAGCTGCAGTTTCTTTCTCTTTTAAAGCTGCTGTTTTCTTTGTGTGTTTTTTTGTTAAAACCTTTACTTTTTAATGCCACCTGTCCACTTATATCATTGGAAAACAAGCGTAACACCCACATAACTGTCACAGATTCCATATATAGTTTTTAAGAAGCCAAGAAAAAGAAACATAACTGTAATAACAATTTCATGTAACCAGACTGTGTAACCTGACAGACTCATATCCACATCCACAACATTTAACAACCAAACCAAAATTTATAAGGACTGAAATACAGAGACATACAAGAGGAAAATTAACTCTAGACACCTCAAGTAGTTAAAGGACAATGGTAATTATTCTATCCAGCATATGGTCCATATTGTTTCAAAAGCAGAAGCATTAGATCAGATATACTGTAAACTAGATCAGATATAAAGTCCTGGTAATTCACCTGGTAGAACTGGTATCCATGTACCAGGGTTAAGTCCCTGCTGCAGCAGCCATGGGTTCAACTCTCACCTGTGGCCCTTTGCTATGTTTCATCCCCCCTCTCTATCTCTCTTTCTCCCCCTTTCCTGTGATTCTTCAGCTGCACTAAAGGCAATAAAAGCCCCCTCCCCAAACTTCTGTTGCAGTCCAGCTGCCTTTATCTTCTACTGTAGATATACTGCAACCTGAACGACTGAGAATCTTCACAGACAATTCAACTAGTGGCTTTTTTTTTGTGTGTTGCAGCCTGATTTCACGGCAGCTTTTCTTTTAAAATATTGCTGTTTTTAGCCACTTTTTGTATTATTCATTAAAAATTGAAATCGATTTGCAACTTCCTGGAGCAACTGCTATAATTTTGTCTTTGATAAACATCAATTACTTGGGTTTTCCGATGATGTTAATGTTAATATATTCTGTCGTTTTAACTAATAAACAAGAAATATGTAAACAAAAACATGCAAGACAGAACCGAAGCTTCAGTCAGTTTATTGTTAATTGTCTCAATATATTCTTGCATTCCTATTTTTCAGCCACGACCTCCTCCAAAATAACCCGGACAGAGGACATACGAGGACGCTCTGGGCAGTGTGTGACCTCTGTATATTTCTCTATATTGAGCAGAAAACGTACTTAAATAAAACTCTTAACATTTTGCAGAGCATGGACAAGCCTTTTGTGGCGTGTGAAGTCATCCCCGTGAAAAAATAGCCTGCAGGGTGAGAGAAAGAGACACTGACATGCATTTGTTGTACACGTTAGTCACTGTTGGCCAACCAGAAATAAAAATCTTCTTTGGTCTATGCAATGAATGACTATACCCACTTTTGATACCATCCTTAACCCGCATATCTAAACTGTTACCTTTCTTTCCGATAGGTGGCGTAGGTAGGACTGGTGCAGGCCTGAAACTGCTGGCACTGCTGTTTGCTTTGCCCTGGATTGTCCTTGTTTATGAAAGCTTTCCAGCTTCAAACAAATCCAAAGCAGAGAATATGTGATGTGGGACTCGTCTGTAATCTTAACTAATAAATATGTCAACAAGATGAAGCCAGCATCATATTGCTGTTTATCTCTGCGACTTCAAAGGAGCAAGAAAGATGTCAAAGTGTTAACAGTGCAAGAAGTGTAAAAGCTTGTCTTCCTCACAAACCTCTGGGAGTGTATGAGCTTCAATTTTCAGAGCCTGATATTCCAATTAGCTTTTCTCTGCGGGCCTGTAATACAAACTGTCATTATATGGATGCTCAGTCCCTGTAAATGTTGAAGTATTGCTACAGGCTAACAGAATAGAAGAGAGCAGAAAATAAAATGGGATGTCATTTCTTTATCGCTCAATTCAACACACCATGATTATGGAGTTACATAATTCCTTTTGGAGCACTAATGATTTCCGTCCCATTTAAACTGTATACTAACACGTCTGCTGCTGGTTTCTTAATCACATCAGCAGTGTCTGACCCTGAGGAACAAAATGCTGCTTCTGTTTTTATCTATTAACACTTTACAGCCAGGTATGAACCCATTACGACTAATATATAGTATTATATACATATATTATGATTATATGTTTACTATGGTAATTATTTAATTATTAACCTTAAATCTAGTACAATATCTTTTATTTTACATTTACAGGAAACAAAACAGGAACCTAAGCTGCTTCATCCAAACCTTCCCTTCAAAAAAAGACAAGAAATAACAATTGGTGCACTCTTTCGTGGGATTTCAAGTACATAAAAGACAAATGTTGAACTAAGAATAAAAACAAACATGTTTTCTTACATCTGGAGAGACTGGTTTGTAGACATCTCTGCAGCACTACAGTACTTCATTATAATTCTGTTTGTCACATTTTACCTTCATCAAAACATTGGCTGGTTTTGCGCTTTGGATATTGAATTTGGCCGAATTGCAGTTTTAATAATATTTCGACTAATTGTGCAGCCTAAGTGTCCATTAACATCTGAGTAGCAATTAAAGACTTCTGAACAACTCTTGTAGAGTCTGGTGCAGAACCAAAACACAAGCCAGAGTTCCCATTGTTTGCATTTAATACAGATATTAATTAACTACGTAAATCACAATGGCTGCTCAATTATTAACATTGATTTGTAAATGTGCTTTAACAAGTCTCTGGACTGTGTGATTCATTAACTAATAGTGTATTTCCAATTAAGGCTCAGTAGCTACTTGTCACTTGAAGAACAATACCTGAGAGACTCAAAAATTAATAATAGTTGTTAGCAGCAGAGTTAATTGTTAATAATTCTTTTAGAAAGTGTTCAGTATGCTGATTCACAGCTGGAAACTCGTCATTGCTCACTGTTTTATTGATACATCATTTGTTTGTGGGTTCTTAAAGCTGCACTAATCAATATCATTGTATTAATTATGGATCTTGTGAATTGTGTAATGTGCAAGCTGAGCTCATTTAGTAACACAGCGATTCATTGATGAACTGTTAGTTCCTTAGGTTTTCCTTAGTAACGCTTCAGGATTTACCTTGTTGTTTCTTTTTCTGGCAGAGACACAGCTGTACACTTATTGGAGTGATGGTGCATTTCCCCCAGTTACTCCCTGTGTGTGGAGGATGTATCTGCCCCAGACTCACATCAGCACAAGACTCATCATGGAAACTATGATCAGGCTTTTACGAATACTTCCTACAAAGGGTTTAACTGTGAGAAGTGATGCAGAACAGATTGCTTAAAGATGTTCACTGTTTAAAAGGTTTCTTTAAAAGACTCCATATCTCAAAGCTTTTCATTCTGGTTGCGCTGCCACGAAATGTTGAGGCATGCACCCTCGACTGATAAATGGGCTAATTGACCAGCAGAACAAACATAAACACACCCCTGTAAAATAAACTCCTCATAAACACACACACACACACACACACACACACACACACACACATAAGTACAGAGCAGAGTCCTCACTGTCAGCTCGACAGGCAGTTTTTAGTCTGTCAGTGTAAATCTGCTCTGCAGCTTGCGTTCATGTTTCAGCCTGTATGATCATACAGCAGTGGTGAGCCACTCTCAAACCATCTACAGGCACATTGCCACTGTGACTACACACACACACACACACACACACACACACACACACACACACCACTGAACACTCCATCCAGACTTGAGCTTTGAAGTCATTTCAGCTCCTCACTGCAGGCTACAGGCCCTGCTCTGTCTGGCTCCATCTATCTGGAGAGTCTGTATGTTTCCTTATGTCGGATGCTCTACTTTAGTTCAGTAGAGCTGCAACTAACTTATTTTCATCATCGATCAGTTGTTTCATTAATAAAACATGCAAAACTGTTGCAAAACTGTTGTTAAACAGTCTAAAACCCAAAGATACTTCATTCATACTGATGTGAAACTAAGCAAAAATAGCACATTCTCACATTAGAGAAGCTGGAAGCAGAGAATGTTTGAGATTTTTGCTTGAAAAAATGACTTAGACCATAAATCGATTATCAAAATAATACATATCAAATATTAAGTTGCAGATTCGTTTTCAGTCAGTCTACTCATAATATAAAGGTTGTAGCTCTACTTCAGTGTGTGTGTGTGTGTGTGTGTGTGTGTGTGTGTGTGTGTGTGTGTGTGTGTGTGTGAGAGAGAGAGAGAGAGAGAGAGAGAGAGAAGAGAGTCCTTCTGTTTTTACCCAACACCAGGACAGAAACTCTTCAGTAAAGTACTGTAAATATAGACCAGCATAAGATGTGAATGTCGTTTGCAGCAGTTTAATTCAAAGAGTTGTAGAACAGGTCGCTCTTGGTGGAAGCATTAAAAGAGGCGAGGAGAATTAAACTTACACTGTAGTTGCAGAGGCTTTCATTAGTGCCACAGTGTGTGCTCTGTGCAGGGAAACGTCCCCCAGATGCACACTGCACTCCCCCCGCTATCCACCCCCTCCACGTAAACACTAACGCGGTTCACCATAAACCAGCAGCCTCAAATGCAGCATGCACAAAAAGTGATTCACACACACAGAAAAAAAAACTTTCTCCCAACACCAAGCGTTTAATCTCAAATCCAGCCTCAAAACCAGTCACATCCCACTCTGCTTTCACCAGCCTGAAGAGAAGATCGATTATTAAGTCATCCTGGCCCCAGCGGGGGTTAACACTGTCCAAAGAGGTGAATGAGAGTGATTGTCAGTCCTTACCTTCATATCCGGAGCAGAAGCAGAGCTGGACAAACAGGAGCACCAGCGGCCACATGTCCATATTGAGGCGCGGGACGGACGCTCTTCCACATGTGAAGGGGAGCTTGCAGGAAAACTTCCAGCGTTACATTCCTGCTTTCCAAAGGCCCGCCTCTTGCTCCAGAAACAAGGGAGGATTCTCCTAATACAGTCAGGCCTGTTGGCCACCGGCATGAGGCACATACACGGAGGCTGTGCCAACCCCTTTGGGTCAACTGTGACATGTACTCCACTGTCCCCACAAGAGACTGAACCAACAGAGATCAACTCAGTGCTCCCTGACCTCACATACTCACTAACTCTGTTACATTAGTTCCGGTTTGAGGCTCTTGGACTTTACTTTTCATCCATACAGTTATATTGCACCAATTTATCCAGGCAACTTCCTTGTATGAGAAAACCTACTTGGCAATAAACCTGAATATTGATATATGTGATTGTTTGTGGTTGAATCAGCATATATTTCTGTCACCCCTTTAGGTCTCCATGCCACCCCTCTTGCTACCCCATTAATGTTTCTCTACATCGGTGTCTGACCAGTGGTTCCCAACCTGTGGGCCTGAACTATCAATGTCAGACTTATCATGGAGTATTTTTACATTGAGGTGTTTTATATAGTTTGTGTGTGTTGTATGTTTCACCTGTAATTTACTTTTTCCACAACAGTCATTGTAAAATGCTACAAACTAGAAAACCCATCAAAATACTAACTGTGAAGCCTAAATTCTGCAAATAGCAAGATACGCAAATCAAATTAACCAGTTAATGACCTGTTGATTAATTGGCTTTGACCAACTAGTTTTCCTGAAATGATAATAAGCACTTGGTTTTGATCTTTTTATCTGTACTTAAAAAACGTAGTTGAAAATATAAAACTTACTCGAACCTTAAAGTTGCGTTAATAAATTTTCAGCCACTAGGCGGCCACAGAAGAACTCCTGCAATTGACATGTAGATTGATTGTTATTGTCATTGATTATCAACAATATTGGGAAACCTTGTAGTAAAAACACCCAGGTTGAATTTGACTGAAATCTGATTAGAGATATTAACTTGTATGTTTCTCATTCATTTCTGGTTAATGAACTAACCCGAATCTTTACTGCCTCACAACATCACCTTTTTTCCTTTATTGTTCTCAAAAAAATCTGATTCACAGCAGACATTTTGAAATCTCATAGCAGGGAACACAGTTACAGAAAGGCCTATTTCAAGGCTGTCATGGAGTCTCACCGAGCTGCACAAAGTAGAAAATCTGCATTTTTCTGCTAATCTCTCTTATTCCAGAGGAAATAAACCACATTTACTGGTCTCACAAGGTGATTTTATGCTTGCCATTGCATATTTTACATCGCACATTAAAAGATACAGAACACCCTGCACCTACCAGGTCATCACTGGTTAACTAGTCTTGGGATCTCCACTTCATTCTTGAACTGTATATCCCAGAAACTGTTCAATACCTCTACTGTTTCTCTCTCTCTCTCTCTCTCTCTCTCATACACACACACACACACTCACTCACTCACTCACACACACCACAGACATCAATGAGAAGCATTAATAACAGTGGAAAGATTTTCAGTTTCAAATATGGATAGAAGTTTATTCCCAGTTTCCATTTTCCTAATGATGTGAACATTTTATAGGAAGTCATGTTGGATCCAAGTTGTTTCCTAGCAACGCTATCCTGATGAAATGTACTATAGTAACCATATTGTAATACATTTTGCACTTTTTTGGTCTCCCATAGTAGACGGAGAGTTGTTGTAGAGTGTGTCTGTAGTATCATTTAGATCAATTCTGGCTTGCATTTGCAGGCCAATTGTCTTTACCTGATTATTATTCTGCTTCATAAGAGCTACACACACACACACACACACACACACAACAGGGAAGCAGGGTGAAAGTACAGAGCTGTTTAAAGACTAATCAGTGTTTAATTTTCTCCTCCACAAGCTTGAGGTTTGGTTGCAGACCCTCTGTAGTTCATGAGGGGGCGAGTCCACACATGAAAGTGTTGAAGTGTTCTTGACAGGAAACAGAAAAGGGAGGCGTGCGGTGAGGTGACTGCGAGACGATCTCCTGAGCTGTAATTACACGCAGGTTCAGCCGACCATTATGACTGCTTTCGGCTGAAATGCTTCCCTCAGGTCGGTCAGGTGAAGAAAGAGTTAACTGACTCCGTCTTTGCTCACCTGGCTCTGGAGGACTTTGATGTGGTGTCACCGCCAATGATTTTGGATTAAGATTGTCTCTGGGTTCTGTTGTTTATACAGACTTTAACTTAGTTGGTGTTCTCCTTCAGTGTATTTATCAGAATTTCAGCTTTTAAAATCATTGTTTTTGATACAGTAAAAAAATAACATGCAGCGCACTTAAAGAGTACGTAATAAGAGCAGGGATTGTGTCACCATAAAGGAAGTGAATCCCCTAAAGACACATATTAGAGTTTGATTTTGGTGCAGAATGTACAGTCTGAACATTTGACGGCTACAGCTCATTCTGAGGTCTCACAGGCGTATAATCATCTTAACCAGAGACAAAAATGTAACAGTACGTGGGCAGAAACAAGGCACCTTCAGCAATACACATATTTATACATTTATGAAGTCATGAAGTACAAAATCAAGAACAAATCAAACAAACAGTGAGGGGGCAACATCATGTTTAGGCAATCAAGTGTGTCCAGTAATTCCCAGCAGTCACACTTAAGTCGGAAAAGTCTGGTAGAGCTTCACTGGCGTCTGTTGAAGAGAAGAGCGCTGATTTTACACATCAGAGTCTGTTTTAGGTCTTGTGGAGTACGACTGCGTGTGTGTGGAAAACAGTTTTGTAGAAAAGCTTTTCGTTGTGAGTTGGGTACATTAGCCACTGCTAGCATTACACACCCAAATCTTAGAGGAGAACCGTTTGCAGTCAAGTTGCATAGTGTCAATGGAATAAAAAAAGACCATATCTCTAGTTCTGCTTTTTTTAAACTGTCTATCATGAATCCAACAATGTGTGTGGAGCTGTCTTTTTAAAAACACAAGACACTAACAGAGTAACTAGGAGAATGGTGAATGGCAGATGTAAAATACCACGTTGTTGATCTAAATTTGGATAATCAGCTTTCTCCATTAAGGGCCGTCAACCCTGGAACACATTACTAACTCAAATCAAAGTCACAGATATGAAATAGACAACAAAGGTTAATCAAACCAGAGCTGTACCCACTTTAGTACTAAAATAATAATATAAATATAAATAGTGCTACTGCTCTGGATTACCAAGGTGCATTAGTGTGGTGTTTATGTTTTGTTACAGCTCCATATCTGTATGTCTACTGGTGTATTGTGGTATAATTATTATTATTATTATGTGCATTTTATTGCATTTAAAGCTGTATATTTTACTTACACTGTACATATAAAATCCCAACTAGGGACAAGAGTTGAAAATTAGCACTAATTATAAACTCTCTGCAGCAGTTTCATGCTTTGTATGTGAAATTTGTTAAAATCCCTATCAAATACATACATTCAAATTCAATCTGGTGCTTTGGGTGACAGGTTCCGTCCTATGAGGAACATGGACATTGTAGTTTATTCTGAGTTAATCCCACATACATACTCTAAAACTAATCTATAATGTATTAATCCACAACAAAAAATAGTCCCTGACATTTTCACTATTTCCTCTCTAGGTTGCTTTGGTAGATTCGTGAGAGGGCTGAGAGCCACAGACAGGTTGTAAGACACTGACAGACAGGTTGGTTGTAAGACACTGACAGACAGGCTAAAGCACTGCTGGATTTGGCCTTTTAATGGATTCGTTGACAGAAAGACGAAGATGTTTCCATCGGACTCACAGCGTGCAGGTCTGATGACGTCGCAGCAGGTCGAGGTCGCTGCAGGTCTGATGATGTCACTGCAGGTTGAGGTCACTGCAGGTCAAGGTCACTGCAGGTCTGATGATGTCACTGTAGGTCGAGGTCACTGCAGGTCTGATGATGTCACTGCAGGTCGAGGTCACGCAGGTCGAGGTCACTGCAGGTCTGATGATGTCACTGCAGGTCGAGGTCACTGCAGGTCGAGGTCACTGCAGGTCTGATGATGTCACTGCAGGTCGAGGTACTGCGGCAGCACGTCGTCCCAGAACTGCTGAGAGTCGTCGGGTCTCTTCTCCGCTGCAGCTCTCTGCTTCGTCCTCTGTGCTGGTTTGGGTGTTTCTTTCTGTTCAGGAGACTTCTTCTGGGGCTTTTCCTCCTCTTCCTCCTCCTCTTCTTCTTCTTCCTCATCGCCTTCTTCCTCTTCCTCCTCCACTTTTGTGTTTCCCACACTCTCATCCTCCTCCTCAGCATGCTTCTCACTATGTTTGGCCTTTGCAACCTTTCCTTGTTCTTCACTCTCCTCTTCTTCCTCCTCTTCCTCTTCTTCACTCACTTCTCCTTCCTCACCTTCATTTTCCTCGGTTTGTTTCTGTTTTCTTTCTCCTCTCTGATTATCAGATCTTTGTTTACTCTTTGTTTCATTCTCCTCTTCCTCATCTCCCTCTTCCTCTTCTTCCTCTTCCTCCTCCTCATCATCGCTCTCCACCATCAGCTTTTTATTAGCTTCAATACTTTGCTCTTTTCTCTTTATTTTTTCTTCTTCCTCCTCACCTTCACTCTCTTCTTCTTCTTCATCTTCCCCTTCCTCCTCTGCTGTCTCTTCTTCACCCTCTTCTTCATCCTCTGCAGCCTCTTCCTCAACTCCTCCCTCGTCTTCCTCCTCCTCACCAGGTTTTTCCTCATCTTCAGTCTCGTCCTCAGCTTCCCCCTCTTCTAAAGATGCTTCTTCCTCACCTTCTTCCTCCTCCTCTGTAACCTTACCCTCTTCCTCTTCCTCTTCCCCCTCCTCTCCAGACTCTTCCTCAACTCCTCCTTCATCCTCTTCTTCCTCTGAAACCTCCTTACCCTCTTCTTCCTCCTCACCCTCTTCTTCTTCCCCCTCCTCTCCAGTCTCTTCCTCAACACCTCCTTCATCCTCTTCTTCCTCTGAAACCTCCTTACCCTCTTCTTCCTCCTCACCCTCTTCTTCTTCCCCCTCCTCTCCAGACTCTTCCTCAACTCCTCCTTCATCCTCTTCTTCCTCTGAAACCTCCTTACCCTCTTCTTCCTCCTCACCCTCTTCTTCTTCCCCCTCCTCTCCAGTCTCTTCCTCAACACCTCCTTCATCCTCTTCTTCCTCTGAAACCTCGTTACCTTCTTCTTCCTCCTCCTCGTCCTCCCCCTCTTCTTCCTCCTCCTCGTCCTCAGCCCCGTCATCTAAAGATGCTTCTTCATCCTCCTCATTTTCTTTATCGCTCTTTTCATCTTGCTCTTCCTCTTCTTCATCAGCCTCACTCTCTTCTTCCTCTTCCTCCTCATTTTCAACACTCGATTCGTCCTGGTTCTCATCTTCCTCTCCTTTACTCTCATCTGTTTCTTCGTCTTCTTTGGAGTCTTTCTCCTCATCCTCACTTTCGGTGGAATCTTGATCATCTTTTTGTTCCTCACTTTCACCCTCTTCTTCCTCTGCGTCATTTTCTTCATCTTCATCAGACTCTGCAGTTTCACTTCCCTCTCTGTCCTCCTCTGACTCGTTGCTCTTGCTGCTGGCTGTACTCCCCGATTCTTCACCACTTTCATCTTCTTCATCCTCACTCACCTCACTTTCTTCCTCTTCTTCTTTATTCTCATCTTCACTAGACTCTTCACTTTCCTCCTCTTCCTCTTTATTATCTTCTTCACTAGATTCTTCACTTTCCTCTTCCTCCTCTTTATTCTCTTCTTCACTAGATACTTCACTTTCCTCCTCTTCCTCTGCTGCTTCACTTACCTCAGAGCTACTTCCTCCTTCACCTGTTTTCTCGCTGCTTTCTTCTTCCTCCTCTTCAGCCTCTGTAACATCACTCTTCTCGCTTCCTTCATCCTCTTCCTCACTGCTGGAGCTGCTTTCCTCCTCACCCTCTTCCTCTGCAGTGTCAGTATCTTGCTCTTCCTCAGCCTCTCCAGAAACGCTCTCCTTTTCCCCTTCTTCTTTGTCTTCCACATTGCTTCCACTCTCTCCATCTTCAGTGTCTTTTTCTTCTACCTCGTTATCCTCTTCCTCTTCGGAAGGCTTAGTAGGAAGGAAGTAGGTTTTCTCATCTTCTCCATGTTCTTGCTTGGAAGTGTCTGTGTCTGTGCCACTGTTCTTAACCTCTGTTTGTGAAATGTCTTCACCCTCAATCTGCTCGGAGTTGTCACTTTTCATTTGTGACTGATCGTGACTGGTATCATAACTTTCTCCTTCTTGAACCGCCTTCTCTGACTCTGATAGGACACTGAGCTGAACATCTTTTCTTTCTTCTGGTGGATTTGATGCTTCTGCTGAAGAAAAATCTGATGACGAGGAAAAGGAAGGTTGCATAATTGCACTCTGCTTTGTGAAATGCTTCACTTGACTGGTTGTTTTAGGTGATGTAGAGGTACCGGTGTCACTGTCAGACTGAAAACCCCCAAAGCTCGTCACTGGATCTCTAAGGACCTCCATAGCGGCACCCACTATCCCAACAGCAGGAAGAAGAGCAGCTGCTGTACCGAGAGTTTCCCCCCACTTTGGCTTTTCTTCAGTCTGGCCCTGAGCATCCTCTCTGTTTCTCTTAGACACAAGCAAATCCGTATCAACAGCTTTGGGCTCTTGCAGGGATTTGGCACCGCCAGTGGAAGCCACCACTGTTCTCTTAGGTTCTCTTCTTTGTGTGGAAATAGTGTTAGACACCACTTCAATAGGTGTATCCTGCTGTGATAACAGCGGGCTGGAAGCTTCAGTCTGCTTACTCTTCGGCTTGGCCCTCGTATTATCTTTAGAGTCTCCATCAGCATCTCCTTTAACTTTAACTCCCTCTCCTTCTTCTCTCCCTGGCTTTGTCTTTGCCTTCAGTTTGGATTCCTTTGACTTCTTTTTGTCCTTTACTTCAGAGCTATCAACATCAAGTATCTTTTGCTTTTCTGCAGTTCTGCCTTTCATTTTCTGAGTTTTTAACTCATTTTCCACAACTTTCCCTTTGCTTTTACCTTTAACAGGTGTGTTTTCTGCAAATTTACTTTGATTTTGGACTTCAGTGGATTTAACCATTTGTGGTTTCCCTTTAACTTTGACAGGTGTAGATTTCACACTTATGGATTTCTTAATATCAAGAGCAGGTGTGGTTTCTAGTGCTTTGCCTTGACGTTTTCCCTGTGCCAATTTAACCTCTTTTTTTGGAGTCAAGCTGACTCGCTGTGTCTCCCGTTGCGTTGCCATCTCCTCAGTTTTTATGTCAGTGGTTTCTGTATCTTCTTTTGCAGTGTTTTCTGCGGATGTTGAACTTCCTCTTGGGACAGATATGCTGGTTATTTCATTTCCTTTAGTGACCATAATAACAGGAGATGTCTTGTCCAAAGCTGAAGATTTCTTTCTCTCCTTTTTTGGTGTCTTTATCAAGTCTTTCTTTAAAGTGCTGGCTTTCCTATCCTCTTGGCTTATATTACTTTCTTTCAAATTTCTATTTCTCTTGGCATTTTCCTTCACTTCAGTCGGTCTCTGCTGTGTTTCAGTCAGTGTCTTCCGGACAGACTGTGGAGTTTTGGGACTTGATTCAGATAGCCTGCTCTTATCATGTTTTGGTGATATAAAATAGGAGGGTTCCTTTTGAGCTTGTACGTCTTCATGAGTTTTGATTTTATTGGACTGCTTGGTAATGTTCTCTTTGCCTTTAGATGTGACTTTGGGGTTTTTCAGACTCTTTGAGCTCTTCAGTGGAGACACTTCTTTCTTTAAAGAGCCTTTCAGGAGCTCTGTCGGTAAGGCTTTGTGAGCATTTTGTTCTGCATTCCCATTTGACTGGAGCTGTTCTGCCTCTTTCGCAGTTCTTCTAAGAGCTCTGCCCTTCTTCTTTTCCTATAATAAACCACAGAGAAAATAGTCGGATGTATTTAGTCAGATGTAAAAATAAAAACAGAATCAGAAAGGTCAAATGCAATACTGTTATAAAAAGGTTGTACAAACACAGCAGCAGACCTGCAATCAACGTGACTGTACATGTAGTTGTGGCATTTGATGTTTTATGTGATGTGCTTTACTGCCAAAAACATGTCATCTCTAGTTTGAGGAAGTGTTTTTTGTTCAGTAACACACTATAATAAAGCTCATGGGGGGCAAAAATAATATTTTACCAAAACAGAATCAGAATATCAGGATTTGTTCGAGTTTTAGTAGTTTTTGTGGGCATAGATGTCATTCATTTAGAATATTTTGAATATAATAACCAACATACATGCATACATACAAATGCATGAGAAGAAAATATATTGCCAGTATACAGCAGAATTCAGTTTGTTAACATTTTTAGATTGTAACTGAATTTAATAATAGAATGAAAGAATATCATATGACATATGTGCGTGGTAGGCACACACACAACAAATCTGTTAACAGGTTGAATTACAGATGTGGGTGGGATGTGAAGAAAACCACGGTCATGAGACAAACAGACGGTAGTTAATTGGGGGTCAGTGAGGTGTGATCTGAAAACAGCCTCATTGAATCACTGTCCAAATGCAACTTGGGAGCTTTCTTTAGAATCCGCCGACTTGATTGATTTCATATAGTATCCTGTTCATGTAATAAACAGTGTATAAATCTTATTCTTAAAGCCCACACGTGTACTTAAGTACTGTACTTAGAATATTGTGGTACTTATATGTTGTACTTTTTACTACTCCTTCTTCCTTCCTTTTATCATTCTACTCTAAGGTAACATAAACACCACGATTCCTATATTCAGCCGATTACACACTAATGAAAACTTGCCTATGGATATTATATTCGATTTCTGCCAATAGATCCTCCTGAATGTTACACACTGGACCTTTAAGTAAAGACGTCTTCCACCACTGCACATTGAATACACATACAGACACAAGCCCATTTAACTTTACAGTGAGGACAGGAACGGGTTACCAAGCACCACCACATCTTGCACTATGACACGCAACAATGTAGGAGACTCCTTCACAGCTTGCTTCATATTTGGCTTTGGAAACACTGATGAGATGTGGCAAGATTCCTGCCAACTTTTCCAAAAGCATTGTGCGTGTATCTGTGTGTGTTTGTGTATCTGAGGCTGGAATCCAAACACATTTGTGTATTGGCAGAAACACTCTTGATCTCTAAATCTGCTTTGAGGAGATTCATAACGCAACATCTTGGAAAAAAGCAAATGAACATGAAAAATTAAGACCAAAACACTTAATTCACCTCAGTGTTACACCAAGTGGAAAATATCTCCACATACACACATACACACACATACACATGCTTTCAAGAACACAGACGCACACATACAGTGTATGTATGCTGAGCTATGCACATTTCCTGGAAAAGTGAGTGAGTGTTCAGCGTTGCTGCTTCCTGCCCTGGAGTGCACATAATCTAGACCACAACCAAGAAGCTTAAAGGGGGAAAAGAAACATTCAACTGACTCTGTGTTTATGACTCTGTGCACAATATATTGTATTGTATTTCTCTACTCTATCAAAATGAAAGCATTGCACTTATCTCACCATATCTGGCAAAAAGTCAGCGTCGACTTCTTTCTCAGAGACGTTCTCCTCCACATCTTCTGTGACAACAATTTCTCCCTCTGAAAACAGACAATGACTGGGTCAGGCTGAGTATCTACAGCTGTATTTTCATGGATTAGCAAGATAAAACTCAAGTCAGCACTGGCTAAAAGAGACATTCCAGTCTCTTGTTCAAACTATAGGTTGAAAATACATTACCTGTTTGTGGTGAAGCACGATGCTTTTCCTCACTGAAGAGTTTATTGGAAATATCACTGGAGGGTCTACTGGGTTCTTTAGGTGGTGGAGGAGGTGATGGTTTTTCAATTAAGGCCTTTTTAGCGGTTGCCACTCTATGCAGTCTCTTTTTTGCAGTCTGTTTAGGGGATACCAGGATGTTAGGGTTACGTTTCTTTACAGACTTTGGTGTCAGTAAGGGAGAAGGCAACTCTTTGGATTTAGACTTAGAGGTAGAGGATTTATACTGAAACATGTCTGATGATTGGGAATGTGGGCTCGATGACTTAGAGGATAACACTGGACTCTGTGGGAGGTCGGACAGAGATGTGGGGGAGAGTGGTGGGCTTGGTGTCACTCCTACTTGCGGTTTGGGGGATGAGGAAGGGGTACTAAGGTCCCTTGAAAGCATTTTAGGGGTTGGGATATTTCTGGACGTTTGCCAGGAGGTGTCGAGGAAGCCAGAATTTAGACGTGGGAGGTTTTGAAACATCTCCCCAAACAGCTCCACAGAGCTTCCCTGAAAGACAAGAGAGCAAAAACAGCAAAAACATTACTGAGTAAAAAGGGCTGAACCACATCTACAGAGCTCCTCCAGCTGGTTAGTCAGTGGCACTACAGCAGAGATACATTTTGGTGTAACACTGCGCCCTACTGGACTACAGACTTATTACAACATCAGCAGTATATAACAACATAATATAATATATTTCCCACTTATATAATTAGTTAAATGAATGCGACCAAGACCCATAAAAGCACCATGAAATGAAAAGGTGGATTAACCAGTTAAAAATGATTAATTCAGTATATTTTAGTGCTGCAATGATAAGTAAGTTAATTGATTATGTGATCAAAAGAGAATTAATTGGCAACTATTTTGATAATGGATTAATCATTTCAGTAATTTTTCAAGCAAAAATGCAAAGTATTTGATGGTTCAAAGAAAAATTCAGATTTGGGTCACTTGTGTCTGCAATGTGAACGCAACCTGAGCACCAAGGGGCAGGTTCTCACTTTTTCTCTGTGGCGGGCTCGAGCAGAGAGGGCTGACAGTGGGACTAGTAGATTAGGATCAGTCAAAGCGTCCAGCAGGAGGATTTCTGTGTAGCTTGACTCCAAAAGGTTCTCTGTGATTGCGACATCCTTCTCTGGCACAACGTCTTGGCTCTCTGGTGGTCTGGGTGCAGCCAGTGCCAGCATGTGGTTCCCGCCACAGGACACCTTAACGTATAGAAAACAGTCAGTGTAGTTTGTTACTGTGCACTGAGTACTTCCTCTCAATCTGCTCACATACTTTATACCCTGAGCCCTTTCATCACAGTCACTTACTAGTTGAACATTGTACTTGAGAAAACGTTTGCAGAGTGTCGGGCTGAACTGGTTGATGAAGTTCTCCTCCCCTAAGGCCAGTTTTCCATGACGACCATCACCAAACGTGTAGAGAAGCCCGCTGTCTGTGGAGGAAGGAAGACAAATCTGGAAGTTCATCAGCATCCTCATCCTTACACACTATTACAACTATAATTCAGCAGCCTTATGCAAGAAGAGAAAACATCCTTCTGTGACTGTTTTGAGAGGATGGATTAACATTTATTTGAATAATTAGAAGGATGAGGTTAACAGGCAGCACTGTTGAGCTTAAGAGATTGCTTACTTGTGATCACAGCAGTGTGGTTCTCTCCACAGGCGATATTCTTGATGCTACCGCTACAAAAGGGCTCCAGCGGTTTTGGCAAATCAACTTCAAACAGAAATGTTCCATGGCCCAGCTGACCATGCTGACCCCTGCCGAACGTGTACACGCTCTCCTCTGGCGCAGCAAAACAGACACAAAAAAACAGACTAATTAATTTAATGTAAACAGTTGTGGTGGAAAATAACTACGTACATCTACTCAAGTACTGAACTTAAGTATAGTTTTGAGACAAATTTGAGAATTTTCATCTACAATTCAGAGGGAGAATAATGCTGTAATTAGTATGTAATAGTAATTTGTGTCTATTATTGAGTCCTACATTTGCGGTGAGAAAATTCCAACCTGTTTTAACAGAAGTCAACTAGTTTGGTTAATTTTCAACCATAAGGTGACATCTTCTAAAGCAGTGATCCCTTATTCTGTCTTCTTTAAAGTTTCTAACTCTCTTTTCTAAAAAGTTCTGTAAAGAAACTGATTTCTGTGGGAGACAGGTTGTTATTTTAAGAGAGACACACAATAAGATCAGCATAATAAATAGTTCAAATCAGCTCCACCTTGATCAGCTCAGATTAAAATGCTGCTTACATGTTAATGCAGATGTAATGCAAATTCAACAGACAGGTTGTTCTGCATGAGTACCGGTACTTTTGATACCTTAATTACATTTTAGTGATAAGGCACTTTTTTCAACATTTCTCTGATTAACAGACTAGGAGGTTAAATATTTGTATTTCTAATGTCTGTAAATTATAAATCATATAAAAGTATATAAAACAGTAGAGATGTGTTAGTATTTTGTCAGTGCAGTGATGTTTGGAACAACAAGTAAGTTACCTGTGAGTGCCACTGTGTGCGCCCCTCCACAGGACACCTGAGTGACACGACCCAGAATCCCTTTCACCCGCTGAGGGACTCTGTGATCGGCCAACTCCTCCACCTGGAGACCGAGCCTCCCGTTCACACTCTCACCAAACGTATAGAGATCTCCATCCACTAAAACAACGCCAGCACGTTAAAAGACATTAAAGTCAAACTGAGTGACGGTCTCTGCTGTGCTGTGTCTGGTTGGACCGTGCTGTACCTGTGACTAATGCTGAGTGGTGGTACCCACAGGAGACCCACGCCACCGCCGCCCCGACAGAGACCTCTCTGGGTTCTGCTGTGAATCCCTCGTCCCCTAAACCAATCTGACCCACAGAGTTGTCTCCCCACATGAACAGCCTCCCGTCCTCTACCAACACACACAAACAGAGAGGAGAAAATCAAACGTCACACACACACACGTACAGTCTGGACCTTGACCATCATTAGCATCTTGGCTAACGGAGACACTTCCATTATTACGTGTCACTGTTCAAACCTGTTAAAGCCGCGGACGTGTTGCATCCTGCAGAAAGCATTTTGATTGGTGCAAGCTCACAGAAGGGATTCAGCAGGTGAAAGGCTGTAGTGTTGTTGCAGTGGCCCAAACCGAGCTGCCCCTCCTGGTTACTGCCAGCACCATACACACTCCCTCGCCCTAAACATATATATATAACATATATAAAACCTGAATTACATACAGGAACAACACATTTTGGGCTCTACTGCTCTACTACTATTTGTTCTTACATGTGCAGACAATTGTGTGATCTCTCCCGCAAGCTACAAGCTTCACCTTCTCAGACTTTAAGGCTGAAAGGGAAACACATATTCATTCATTATAGCTACAGCATTAATAAAAATGATCATTAGTTGCAGCCCTAGTGTAAAGTAACTTACCTTTCACGGTGGCAGGTTTGCTGGCAGCAGGCTTAAATCCAAGCCCCAACTGGCCCCAAGTATTAACACCAAACATGAGCAGCCTGCCATGCTCTGCAGATCATTACAGACACAAATGTTTGATAGAGAAATATGTCTACACAGTAATTATTCTCATTAAACTGAGCATAGATTGTCTGTACCTGTGATGACAGCGCTGTGCTCTCCGCCACAGGAAACGTGCAGCGGCTGGTCGTTCTTCAACCAGAATTTACCAGGCACATTGTCTGCAAAGCTGCTCTTACCAAATGTGAAGATGGCTCCTGTTTCTGTGGACAAATGAGTGATTCATCTTTAGAGAGTGGGGTAGAGTATATACGCAGGTATACGGGCTGCACCCACTTATTGTTTCAGACCATATTGGATATACCCACTGCTAAATGCTCAGTTGTCCCATTTTTCATGAGTGGATGGAGGAAGGAATAAGGAATACTTTACTAAAAATGCGTAATTATGTAGTTTCTGCACCCCTTCTGTAGTTAATGTTACTTTAATAATGACCCTTACTGTCTGCCTCAAGCAAGGGACAATGTGCAGATGCAACTTGCCCATTTTTAGGTGAACTAAACATGCAATAGTAGTCTGACATGTTACACAGTTTATGATACAGGGCGTTTATCCTTTGCTTTAAAATAGGGGTATAAATTAAAAGTATACAGAGTTCTCCAGATACTACCACACCACTGAGAGCCTTTATAGGGAAAATGCAGGACTTGAAAGCAACACTAATTTACTCTTCTCTAACTTAACACCGGCTAAATCCCGACCCAACCTGCTGTTACATCTCAAGCGATTTAAGTAGCAGCCTGACAGAAATAGCAGCAGGTTAACGACACACACACACACACACACACACACACACACACACACAGCTCTCAGTATGTGGAGACCATTTGTAGAACAGGTAGGTATATAAATCTACGTGCTGTTTGCTGTCTAACGCCATTAAAAGTCTCACCGGGTATGTCCACATCTTTCTGTCCCGTCATGTCCTCTCCTGTCCCCCTCACACCTCCTCACCTCTCCCTCACCGTGCAGACAGACACCTGTCCTGATTGACAGGTAGATCAGTCAAACGTCAGAGAGGGGCGGGGACAAGCTAGCTGACGTTAATTATATTTGATACATATTGTTCATATCAGCTTTAAAATGTGTGTGGTGAGCAGAGCAGCATATTGATGGTGTTATAACTTTGGAATAATGAAACACACTAAAAATATATCCTGAATGTAACCAAACATTTCAAACACATCTGTGACTGTATAACAAGTAACTTACATTAATCCACCTAAAAGTTCACTGTAGTAGAGGGTTACTTTAAAAATGTAATCGATACAGTTACTAATTAATTAACGTTACCTGTTAAACAATTTAGTCAATAACCTAATGCAAGTATCACAATATAAATATAAAGTAACTTGATTACTTTTGTAAGTCCTCAACAACAAATATGCAAATAAAAACGAGAAAAAGAACAAATGGAAATTGACAATGTGTCGTCTGTTCAGTGCATTTTTAAAGAAAAACTGATGTATTTTAAAGTTGTAATCCTGGTAAATAATCCCCTTTATTACTAAATGTCACTGTAATCTGATTACACCTTTTCTTGTTTAAAGACACACTGTCAAAAACCAGCGTTTGAATCCTGAATACTGTCATTGTTAGATCCAGTGTTTCCACCTTATATTAATACTAACACTAATAATATAATATTAATTATACTGTCAGTGGTGTCCACAGTGCCGGAGTGCAGTGAGGAGGGCTTGTATGTGTTGCCTCAACCTCATTAAAAAAAAAAAAAAAAACTAACTGGAAAACTAGCGTTAAATATTATATACAGCCAACGGTTATTATTTATTTTCTAATAATAAAAAAAGGTCGTAAACTAATTTTAACTTTTAAGACATTAAAAAAGAAAGCAGTGAGCACGAGGAGTTAGATGAAGCCACGCCTCACTTCCTCGTACCGCGGTGACGTCAGTGTCAGCCAGCACGGACAGGCGGTGAATGAAAGTTTACTCTCTGATGAAATAGACACACAACATTACGCTGTCACTGTATTTTTCCCCCATTTTGAGCCGCAATGTCCTCTAAGCTGTTCTCTGTTAACAACGCCGTTTTCAAATGTTTGAAAACCTCCCTGAACACGCGAGGGTTTAGGTAAGAAACTCCGGTTAACTTTATGTGGATGTTTTGTAGTTAGCTCCTAGTATTGTTACTGTTAAGGAGTATCACATGCATTATGCCTTCATGTGTTTCTTCTTTTTGTCAGCATTGGAGCTGCTTCCCTTGGTTCCGTTAGTTTAAAGGGTCGCAGCTGTCTCACTCTGAAAGATTTCAGCTCAGATGAGATCAAGAGGCTGCTGTGGGTGTCTGGGGATCTGAAACACCGGATCAAGCATGAAAAACAGGTAGCTTACATTAGCTAACCAATGTTAACTGCAGTGTCCATTCATTAAGAGTCCTCTGTTTCACTGTGTAGCCTCTGGGTGGGTCTTTTAAGGAAGCTAACTGTCATTTCTATTTCAGTATCTTCCTCTTCTACAAGGAAAGTCGATTGCTATGATATTTGAGAAGAGGAGCACCAGAACAAGAATGTCCACAGAAACAGGTGTCTGTTTTGTATATAAGCATCTACACTGGTGTATGCCATGTGCTCCGGTTAAACATCCCCCATGAATCACAGAATACTAGAGGTGGGCACATTTTATAAAGGCAGTAGGCAGCGTTCAAGTGTCAGATTTACACTTGAAATTGCACTTATTGGAACAACAACAACAGAAATGTTAGATCCCGTACTGTTAGAGGGGCTGATACTATTCATCAGTGTGCTCAGCGGTGTTAAAGCGCTGTAAGTATGGACACAAAAGAACTGCTGAAAGGCGACTCTCTGTTGGAACAAAACAGTCTACATCTGAACTATTTCCACTCCTCTTGTCCCCTGTATGGTCCCCCTTCACACACAGGTTGTGTGCTTATTTGTTTAAAAATATTCATAATTGTTTTTTAAGCAAGAGGGAAATTTAAGATGCCTTAATGTCACAATTCTAGGTTTTGCTTTGCTGGGCGGGCACCCCTGTTTCCTCACCTCTCAGGACATCCACCTGGGAGTGAATGAGAGTAGCACAGACACAGCTAGGTGAGTCTTATACGTACGCTTTCACTTGTTCACTCAATAATTGAATTAATGTCAGTTAATCCTCGTTAGCATGGTGTTTTTAGTGTAAGTCTGCTTTACATATTGTAATACTGGTGAGTTTTTTCACTGTAGTCATCGCATGTTGTCTGCTGAAGCTGAAGGGAAACAACAGTGTTGGTGGGCCAGTATATGAAACACAGCCCACTGGGTATCCCTCTGTAATCTCTAAACCTCCACCACAGGGTTCTCTCAGGACTCTGTGATATTGTCTTGGCACGAGTGTACAGCCACTCCACGCTGGAGGAGCTGGATAAGGAGGCCTCCATCCCCATCATTAACGGTCTCTCTGACCTCTACCACCCAATCCAGATTATGGCTGACTTCCTGACCTTACAGGTTCTTCAGATCATCATTATGCTCCATGTCACTATCATCCAGTAAATGATAGTGACATAGTATTTTCTAAATTACTACCATTCTCCTCCAGGAGCATTATGGGTCCCTTAGTGGACTAACAGTGAGCTGGATTGGAGATGGGAACAACGTCCTCCACTCCTTCATGATGACTGCAGCCAAACTGGGAGTTCATCTTAAGATTGCTACACCAAAGGTTTGCCTCGTTTTACGTGCTCACAAACTTTAAACGTCTCTTTTAGTGCATTGCTCTTCTTTCAAGTAGGTTATTTTTATGTAGTTTGCAGGTATAGATGCAAGTTGTTAGCCGTGAGCGTCTAATCTCCCAGTTGCTTCTTGTGAGAAGAGACCTGTGGTTCTGTAATGTACATTAATAACCCTTCTACAACTCTACCTTACAGGGGTATGAGCCAGAAAAGAGTGTCATTCAAGAGGCACAAAGACTCTCCAAAGAGGTGAGGTCTTCTTCAGGTGTCATTATTATAAACAGACCTCTTGTCAAAGGAGTTCTTATTAATTCAATTCATACATTGCGTTTGGTCTCAGCATGGGACCCAGCTTGTTCTGACCTCTGACCCGATGGAGGCCGCCCACGGCAGCAATGTTTTGGTCACCGACACCTGGATCAGCATGGGACAGGAGGAGGAGAAGAAAAAGAGGCTCAAAGACTTTCAAGGTTACCAGATTACAATGCAGGTAAAGAAGGATATTGTCTTGGTGTCATTTAGAGTCAAAATCCCAATTTTCTTTTTTTAGACTCTCTTTGTGGCTTAATACTGAATAAAGATCACAAACAACATACCAGTTGCTTTTGGATAAGTTAACAGTTTTCAGTCAGTTCCCGAATCAGTCCCTTTTGACAGCTGTACACACAAGCAAATCAGTCCAGAGCAAAACAATTTCTCCGTCTCAAACGTGCTCCTGCTGACGGCTGCACACAGAGCAGTAGAATGTAAACCTCTGCAAATAGTTTGTATGGTAAACTAGCTTAACACTAATTACAGACTTCATATGACATATAAATCAGAAAGCAAGCTTTAAATAAAACTCTTGCACAGTACATGATGACATACTGTAGGTGATATCTTTTTCTGAAAAAAAACAAACAGTAATTATTTATATTTGATAAACAATATGTCTATTTTTGGAAAGTAAATACATTTGTCACTGTGCAAAGAATCAGAAATGTATGTCGAGCACGCACAGTGATTGTACATGGTCTCTTTTCTCCTTGTATTATGAGTTGAAATTGGTATTAACTCCATGTTTTGGCTCTGGTCCACTACAGACAGGAAGTGTGGCCAAACCAGACTGGACCTTCCTGCATTGTCTGCCCCGGAAATTGGAGGAGGTTGATGACCAGGTATTCTACTCATCGCGCTCCCTCGTCTTCCCCGAGGCAGAGAATAGAAAGTGGACCATCATGGTGAGTAACCTGATTTAAACACTATTATTTAATGTTTTATACTGGTATTGGTTTAATCTGATACTTACAACCGTCTTCTCTTTCAGGGTCTGATGGTTTCTCTTCTGACTGACTACTCTCCACAGATCCCCATGCTCAAGTTTTAATTTCAGGTCTGAAGGTGGACACATATTGATTTATATGATTGATACAGAGTTCATTGTCAGATTTGACCCATTGAGAGCACCATCACAACACTATATGGATTACCCCAAGGTAACTTTGTTTACATTGTTTAATTTACTTTCTGATTTAGAGCAAGGATGACATTGTTTGTATTTGACAAAAGTTTTACAAAGTTATGTTTACGTTCTACATGTACTGTGACAGAGAGCGAGGATCATGGCGGTGATAGCAGTGAAGGTTATAGTGGAAATGTATTTGTTAGACATGTGTTACTGAAAAGGAAAAGATTACTGAGCCTCTCTTCAATGTGTTTAATGTTGTTTTGACTTCACAAGTAGCATAAACATGAAGAGAACCCAGTCAGCTCGAGCTGACCAATCACATTCCTTGCAGTCTTCACATGCTATTTATGTAGCTGCTGTAACCCCAACATCTCGTTACATTTTTGAGGAAATGCACATTGTTTATGCCTAAGCTCTTTAATGTACATGTATAAATCTGTTTTTACTGCCAAATTCATTGTTAACACCACACTCCTAAATTACTGCACCACTTTAGAAAAAGAGAGTACAGCAAACAGTTTGACATTGATACAGTCATAAAATGAGTTTGTAAACATCTGAAACAGGCTTTTGTTAACGTAATGCATCATAAATAGCAGTATGGCTCAAATGGTGTTTAGCAAATGGGCTGAAAAATGGACAAAAACACCCGTATCTCATATGATTAAACCTTAAATTTTTCATATCCTTTTAAGTCTGAATGTATACAAATGTGCCTTTTACATCATTCTCATCACGTGTTGAATGACCTCTCTGAGTGTTGTGTGTTGTCCCTCGAGAGCCTGTGATGCATGAATGATGAAACAAAACTGAGAGAATCAAATTATTGTTCACAAACTATAAATAAAGACGTTACTCTCTGTTCATAATTTGAAGCTAAAGTCTTCACTAGTCCAGATTTTGTTACTGTGGAACCGCAGTAGTGTCTAAAATCCAGGGTTTAATGATTAATTAAATTAATTTACTGTTACTATGACAATTAGAGGTAGTTACTTAATTTAGGTAGTCTGAACTTCTGCTGTAGTAAAAATACACTAATTAACTAATTGGGTAAGGCATTGAAAATATGTGGATTTCTTTTTTTTTCTGTGAACATTTTTATTTACTTTTTTAGTTGATGTTTGTGAAGCCACAAAGCCAGCAAACATATGATAGATGTCTAAAAATAATCATACAATAACCAAGGTAAACTATAACTTTCGAGCACTGGTATTGTACTCCAGCCTCCCTCCTATAAAACCTATAAACACATTTACCTGAAGACCACAACCCCATCTCCCCTTCACACCTAACGGAGGTGCAGATCATCTACAGAAAGGATTTAAATAAAAACAATATATAATAATCATAATACTAATTCTCATGTTGAGCTTTAAAGGTGAGACACATCAGTCGGTCTGTGTTTGACATCCTGTGATACATTTGTTCACCTGGACATATTAAATACTTTCACAGTATTTGTAAACAAAGTGCACATTTTAATCGGTTTAATCTTGCTTTAATCGACTTATTGCACATTATCAGCACCAGTTTAATGCTTCATGACTCAGAGTTTTAAAGGTTGAGGCTTGTGATTATTGTGCACATAATAAAGCCTGCAGAGCTCACAGCAGTAACTCATGGTTGTGACAGTCAGGCGGAGTGCGCCCCCCAATGGCTGGAGTTGGTATCGTCCCCGTGTTCTGATTGGATGGCGGAAGACAACGTGTTTGTGCGGGAAGCTTTGATGTCCGTGGGTGGTCCAGGCGGATAAAACTGATGCTGCGTAGTAACTTCATTCATAAACACCACCAGGCTGCTATTAAAGAAATACACATGCGTACATTGTTTTTGTAAACATAAATACAAAACGCCTACACTAACCACACGTTGTATCCCAAACAGAATAAAAATGTACATTTATGCCTTTCAACACACACAGTTGTCATGGTGATAAAAAAAAATAATGGGGGAGAAGAAGGAAAAAAAAATGCACATAAATGAAAAGCAGCAGCAGGACAAACGATAACCACAGAGAAATGGCGTTAGCAGCTCCAATGGCGATATAAAAACAAGGCAATGCTTCCTCGGCGACCACCCACACACTGAAGGAGTCAGCTCTCAGAGGGAGGTGGGAGGAGGACGCCATTGCAGCCGCAGCTGGCCGTTGGTGATTCGGCTGAGGAGGGACAAACGGTAACAAACTGAACAATGTCGGGGGGCTGTCGGAGGTTTCTTCCGCCTCAGCTCTCGGTTACTGGGTCAGACTGTGGAAGCGGACTCGTAGGATGGACGAGTTGTCTTTGAGGAGGAGAAAATGTGGATCCACAGCGCCGAACCAAAGCAGGTATAAGAGGGATAGAGCAGTGCCTGTCTGTCTGTCTTCCTGTCTATCTGTCTGCCTGTCTGTGTGTGTGTGGGGGGGACAATGGGAAAAAGTTTGAGCTAACCTAGGCTAACTAACGGTAGTTAGTTAGCGGCGGTGCTAACTGGTGTCAGTCTGAGAGCTGCAGCCGCTCTCTGCTCTACCGCTGTAAACAAACCTTACATATCGCTTGGTTACACGTTAAAAGTCGACTTTAAACGAGTAACTTAACGCCATGGTGAAAGATATGGGTTTCTGCTTCAAAATAAGGGTGAATTTGAGACATTTCCGCGACTTTGCTGGGCTGGAGCTCAAACTGTGGTCACAGGCGGTTTATCAGTGAGGATTTCAGCCTGGAGGCTTTTGAGTTGGTGTAACATTGAAACTATATAATTACTCAGATATATGGTAAACTATTAACTTTATCCGGTGGTAGAAACAGTGTTCCGGTCTTTTGCTTAAAAGTAAAAGTAGCTTACTTACAAAGAAAAGTCCTGCATTCTTAATAAGTCTTATCTGCTTTATTATAATTATAATTATTATTATTATTATTATTTATTAAATCATTGGATTATTAGTACGGATGCCGGTTGGAGCTACTATTGACACATTTATATACTGTTGGCTAGTTTAATCTATGCAAATAGATCTTATTTGATACATTTGATATGTGTTTTGTATGTAAAATGTTAATCTGCTAAGTAACCTGTAACTAGAGCTGTTAAGACAAATGTAGTGGAGTAAAATGTGCAGTGTTTGGCTCTGAGATTGAGTGGAGTAGAGCTATAAAGAAGCAACAAAAGGGAAATACTTAAGTTAACTACAAATACCTCAGAACTGGGTTTTAAGTGTAATACTTGATGAAATGTACTTAATTACTTTCCACCACTGCTTTAAAGCCATGAGAGGACAGTAGCTAAATGTGTTCATACATTTTACAGGCTTCAATCCAAAGACATATCCTTCCAGGACCACATCAGTGTTTGTTTTTTATGTTTGAGGACATTTACTTAAAATCACATTACATCACAACTAACCATTCTTGCAGCCACTTGTTTCAGTTCATTTCTGTGCAGTATGAAAAGCAAATATTAGGCTCTTGAAACTTGCTTGAAGTGTGTAATGTCTCACTGTGAACATAGTCAGTGTTAATGTTTGTCAAAGTTACATTATTCTGCAACTATTTTCATATTTGGTTACTTGTCAAAAATCTCAAAAATCCTCTGGTTCCAGTTTCTGAAATGTCAGGATTTGCTTCTTTTCTATGTTTTATATATAATTGTAACTTAAATATAATTGGGTTTTATTCTGTTGGTCAGACAAAAGAAAGAATAAATCACTTTGGGGTTTGAGAAATAGGGTTACAACAGTGTAAGATTTTCACAGTACAGTAAATGTCTCAGAAAATATCCCGGTTTCGCAATATTACACAATTATTACTGTTGTCAGTTACAATGATCCTTAAAGGAATGAAAACAGAAAGGATGTTTGGTTGAAACACAAAATATTATGTCTTGATAGACATTAGACTTAAAACTTTATTTATTATTAATAACACTTATACAGTACAGTTAGAAAAAAACCCACTAATACAGTAAAATTAGAAGAAAAAGGAGATTTTTTTAGCAATGCCGTCTCTGTAATATCCTGGGACACCATTTCTAACCACGTTTTTCTCCTCACAGTGTCCTACCAATCCTTCACCTGTCTGGTGGCCCAGTCTCTCACCATGAACACCAGTAGGAACTGCACCACGGTGGGGAATGGTGAGGGTCTGTCTGCCCTGGAGTCAGTCTCCATTGTGACCATCACACTCCTCGCCTGCCTGGGGAACCTCTTGATTGTGGCAACCCTTTATCGCAGGCCTTATCTGCTCACACCCAGCAACAAGTTTGTGTTCAGCCTGACGCTGTCCAACCTGCTGCTGTCCATGCTGGTGCTGCCCTTTGTTGCCGTGAGCTCAGTAAAGAGAGAGTGGGTGTTTGGGGTGGTGTGGTGTAACTTCACTGCCCTGCTCTACTTGCTCATCAGCTCTGCCAGCATGCTCACCCTTGGAGCTATTGCCATTGACAGGTTAGTGCTGGATAATTATTGAACTCGTACTCAGTTGGATAATCCCTGTAGAGTCATATATTTAAATCATTTAAAGACAAGACACTGGAGTACTATGACCAGTGCAGCTGCTCACTGGCCCAGGTTAATCAGAGAAATAAAACATTATTCTTTGATTGTTTCACAGTGGTTACGTTTAAGCACAAATAAGACAAACAAACAAACACTGCCGCACTAGCCTGTGGCTAATCGCTGCAACGTCTGATTTGGTCTGAATACGGCCTTTTTAGGGAGAGCATAGCTGAGAAGGAATGTTTGAATTGAACCCATTTGTTCCATTGTAATTTAATAAGTCATGACCCAGACAAAGTGCATTTTTAAGAGTGATGCCACTGTTTTCATAAAAAACAAGTGTTGTTGCCAGTGGAGTAGTTTGAGTATTTATGTCTGCAATAAATACATAGATCCATAGAAAATGCATAGATAATCAGTCTTAAGTTGGTGGTTGTTATGTGATTATCAGTTGGCCATGTTACCTTGCAAAGCTGTGGTAAATTGGTATTTTGTTTAGGTATACATGTATGGTTACATTTCAATATGAACTATTGGAGGAGAGGATTAAATTCATTCAAACACAATAGGCTTTTTATTCATAAGCACAGATGGAGGTCTAGGAGAAATTCAAATGTCTAATGTTCTCAAAGGCGAAAGTGTTAATTTTCACAAGTGAGCGTGAGATGTAACAGCAGATATTTCAGTTATAAGACTGACTTGAGTTTGCATTCAGTTTATTTTTGGAACTGTCATAAAAATTTCTTCCCAACTGTTTTTAGGCACATCTTTATGAGGTTAGCAGGATCCCGATTACAGCTGTCACAGTTGGTATCAAAGTGAACAACAAAACATACAGTACTGTAAATGGTGTCATTCTTTATGCAGTGATAATATCTTTCACTGAGTGACAACAGTTAACATATTTTGTGGCTGCTACCACTGAAAGTATTTCATAAAAGCCAACAAAAGGGGGATTTCCCTAAACTTCTGTGATCTCCTTTATTTTCTCTATATAAAGCACAATTATCTATCCTTTCTATGTGAGATGTATCTTTACCTCATTCTTACGACAAAGTGAATGTGAGATTTGACAATGTTTGTGGTGTTACTGGTTTTGGAAGAAACATATCAATGTTCTGAAACTTTTAGATGTTGTTTTTGGTGTGTTTCCCTTTAAGGTCAGTATGTAGCCTTGTAAATAAGATTGGTTAACCACACACTTAGGTCGTGGTATTTTTCTGGAGATTTTCCCGGCTCAAGTGACGAGCATTAGGCAGGCTTACACAAAATAACTTTGAATGTGAACCGACATGAATGCACCATTCATCTGCAGGGCACAGATTATTTCCATTGATTCCTATTTATAGAAATAAGAAACTGATAAACCAATAAAACCCTACAAAGATAAAGCTAATTCAGCACTTTCACGACTTTGTAGTTAGTCACAGACTAACGTTTTTCATTGCTTATTCTTTGACTAGATATTCACTCATTTTAATAACAATTTTGTTCATTTACACTGTTTTTGTTTAGACAAAGATTTTTTTATGTTGTTTTGTGTTAAGATAAAATTACACAGTTATGTATTTGGGGAAAATGGGCTCAAAAAAGGGGAAATGTTTATATTCCTCAATGTAGGTTATACAAACTGTTTGTCTTTTAGTATTGGTCCTGTAAGTCCGGTGTCATTAAAACTATACCTAGCTCTATTAAGAGGTAGTGAGCCATAAAAGAACACAAATAATAAAGATGATTGATTAAACATTTCAAGTAATTTTTATCAATTATAAAGAGGCCGAACAAACATTCCCTGGTTCTGGTTATACAAAAGCTCGGATGATGTCCCATGGGGCTCTGGGAAATTGCCTATTTACTATGAATGTTATACAGTGGGGGGGGGATATTTAATAAAAGAATAATTAACCCAAAATGAAAATAATTGTTAGTTACAGCCTTAAAGTTAAGTAAAAAATATTTTTTAGGGTCATTTCAGGTTGATTATCACTCTGGTTACAGTTATATTGTGATCCCTGTTGTCAGGTATCACAAAGGACTATAAAATGTAGTTACTATGATCTACTGTAAATTAGCTCAGTAGCATACAGTCACTGTTCTCACTGCTGTCCTAATTACCCTCAGCACCTTCGGGAATTTTTGATTACAGTGCATGTTTTTGTTCTCCCTGCCAAGCTCTCCTGTTCTGTTTGCAGCTTTTCAGAAAACACTTTTCACAGCATTGTTGTTTTGCTTCTGTATCACTCACAATGAGCAGTCTTTCTCTGTTACTGGCACCAGACGGCTCCCTTGAGACTAGTGTTGAGTTTCCTTTCTGCAGGGTTTCTTCACTGTGTTGCCTTCTCGTACCAACAGGTACTACGCAGTGCTTTACCCGATGATCTACCCCATGAAGATCACAGGAAACCGGGCGGTTGTCGTCATCGCCTACGTGTGGTTACACTCCCTGATCGGCTGTCTGCCTCCTCTTTTCGGCTGGTCGTCCTTCGAGTTTGACTGCTTCAAGTGGACATGTGTTGCGTCTTGGCACAGAGAGCCGAGCTACACCGCCTTCTGGGTCACCTGGTGCACCCTTCCCCCGTTCATCATCATGCTGGCCTGTTACGGTGTCATTTTCCGTGTTGCCCGCATGAAAGCCAGGAAGGTACACTGTGGGACAGTTGTTGTTGCCCAGGACGACTCCAATGGATCTCAGAAGAACGGACGAAAAAACTCAAGCACCTCAACTTCCTCTAATGGAAGCCGGCGGAGCCTAGTGTATGCAGGGAGTCAGTGCAAGGCCTTTGTCACCATCTTAGTGGTGATCGGCACTTTCCTCATGACCTGGGGGCCGTATGTTGGAGTGGTGTGTACCGAGGCTTTGTGGGGACAAGGGAGTGTGTCTCAGGGACTGGAGACTTTGGTGGCGTGGCTGTCTTTGTGCAGCGCCGTGTGCCACCCGCTTATCTACGGTCTGTGGAATAAAACTGTGAGGAAGGAGCTGCTGGGGATGTGTTTCGGAGATCGCTACTACAGAGAGTCATTCGCCACGCGGCAAAGGACATCCCGTCTCTTCAGCATCTCCAACAGAATCACAGGTGGGAGAGCAGCAAGTGGCTCTGCTTGTCATGAGTGGCTTTCAGTCTACTGTAGAACAGTGATCAGCAAACATAAACGTATAACTATTATGTACATATGTGTTCAACTGTTTCTGTAAACTGTAAACAGGTATACAATAGTGGGAGCGTAGGTGTAAGTGCAGAGAGTGCTGGGATAGATATTGAATGGGTAGTGTGATAAGTAGATTCAGTGGGTGGTTTATGTATAATATATACAGCCTGTTTAGATCGTGTTGTTGTGATTCAATGTGTTGTATGACGTTGTACAACTAGAACTTGCTTGTGTTCTTTCAGACCTCGGTATGTCCCCACACCTGACAGCCATGCTGGCCGGTGGAGGCCATCTGCTGGCCCCAGGGAGCAGCACAGGAGACACTGGCTTCAGTTTCACTCAGGACTCATGTAAGTATTGCACACTGGACGCAGAAGGGATGGCTACACTACAGTAATCAGTGACTTCTAAACAGGAAGTGGCTCACAATCTACAAGTATAGAATCTAAATCCTGGACCCTTTAACTAGTCATACTTTAATAACTATACACACAACATAGACCAACTAACAAAGGTTTCCTATGCTTCTGCTAAGAAAGAACATAAAAACTGGTGATTTGGAAACAAGGTGACAGCTTCTCTTTCTTTGTTTGAAAAAAAAGAAAAAGATCTTTTGTTTGTTTTGTTTGAGCAAGAGTCTAAAACTCAAATACCGTCAATTTACAGTAACATAAAAAAAAGAATTATCACATCACAACCAGAGATAATATATTTCTTAAAAAATGAATGAGACAAATAATCTGCCAAATTCTGATTTAAAAAAACTGTCAGTTGATTAATCAACAATCAATGAATTGTCTCAGATCTACAATATACTGTTGTCCTGAGTTATATTTAATGCTAATATTTAGTCAACAACCAGGCAGCAGTGATTGTTATACCAGCAGATGTTGCATCTTTACTGACAGATGTGTTAATGCCATTAAACTCCTGTTTTGACAACCGGACTGTTGATCTTAACTTGAACATAAAATGGAGATAGTGATTCACGGCACGTGTAAACATGATGTTTCGAAAGGCTGGCAGATGGTAACTCTATTGCGTCATACTCCCACAGCTTTGTAACAGTCAGTCTCACATTCCTGTTTCACAGCTCATGGTGTTCAGTTCAGGATGGCATAGGTAGGGCAAGTAATGTCATGTATAATACAAATAAATGATCATCCAACTAATTTGTGTCCTTTTAATTAAGATGGTTGCTGCTTTCACATTTTGGGGTTTCTGTAAATGACTGCTCTCAATTAAGCAGCCTTTTTTTGTCTCTGCAATGTTTCCCATGCAGGCACAGACGTGATGCTGCTGGATAACTTCTCCACAGACGGCTCCTCCCACACACAGCACCACGGGCATCAGTCCGGGAAGAGGAGGAGCTCGGTCACCTTTGAAGACCAGGTGGAGCATTCCAAAGGTATCTGTCGTCATCCTGCCCCACTAAAGATTAGAGGGAAGGGAGTTTGCTTTATACTCCCTGAGGGTTTGGAATATCACTTTGTGGTCCCTCAACAAAGCGTCACACTGAGCTTAAGATTTGTTTACTGTAACGTTTGTCTGTTGAACCTCACGAATAATCTGCGTTGTTCTCCTCAGCTGAAAACACCAACACGTCCTCAGTTCAAGTCCACGCAGAGGTACACAAATCTCTCGACACCTTTGCCTCCTGTCTGGCGAAGGCTATTGAGAGCGATGCTAAGCTCACCCTGTTTGGGGAGGATCTAGGTCTGCCGGGGGGACTGTTTACAACCAGGGCAGCACCGAGACCCAGATACCTGGACGGTCAGAGACTGAGGCTGGAAAGCATCGATGAAGGGATCGTTAAAGACGACAGAGATGAAGAAGAGCTCGATGTGGAAGAGAAACCAGCCTGAACACAGCTGTACATGCTTATAGGCCATACTCAGTTCATTAGTGAACTACTATATGTGACCATTCAGAGCGGTGCTTGTCCTGCTCTGTTTATGAAGTCTGATCACTCTACACATGGGTACTCCATACTTGAAATTATTAGAAAACAGGAAGAAGCGCATTATTCATTCCACTAAGTTGGACCAAGTTCACACCATCAGTGTCTTTACAAGTGTTTGTATGCATTAATGTAATCAAATAGGAAGCCTTAACTACTGTATCCTAAATGATCTGATTGTAGTAATTGGTTTATTACTATATGTTATTGTATGACCTCAGGACAATAACATGTGCCTCATTAGGGCTGGGCAATATGAAAGAAATACAGTTGTTTCTAAATCACTGTTATTAGATCTCTTTAAAATGTCTCCTTTATTATATGTTCAAGTTTGTTTGGAAGCTCAAGTTCTCTTTTATTCAGGAGCAGACGAAGAGTCAATTTAAGCTTGTACTGCACACTGATGGTCCACATATAGTTTCCACTTATTGTGCTTGATGAGATCGATCTGTGTGACTGTGGTCAAACAACAAACTAAACTTGATTTATACTTAACTTGTACATTTATAAGTCTTAAAAATACATGATGACCTCATAACTCCCAACAATAATGGTTTTAATTACCTTGAATGACAGACTTTGGCTGATGTGAGGGATCCATATTTGGATGTTTTTCTGTTATATTAAGTGCCAAGTTGAACATATCAGAGCTGTGAGGAAAATCTCAGTTCCTCAGTCATACAGTAATTAAAACCTCGTTAATAACTGATATATAAGTAGAGGTCTAATCAGTCAGAATCAGTGAAAATGAGTGCAGAGCCTTTAATGTAATGCAGCAGAAATAAGTGTCCAGAGTCGCCGGGGTGACCGAAATCACAGTTCTAGTTTTTTGTTTTTTTTATTTTCACAGGAGACATTTTGACACGTCACAGTAGGAAAAGCTCAGGTGTAAATAATAAAGTTAATGATGGCTGACTTCCATTTAGCTGCTTCAGTTTCCTGAAAGTCCTGCTGTTGTTCTCGCTGACTCACTGTGACGACTCACTGGGACACTTGAATACAACAGAGACATCGTTAATGTTATTAGTAACACCTGTGATCTTCCTACAATGACAACTCATCTCAGGTGAACTGAAAACACTCAATGTTTAAAATAAATAATGTAATTCATCATAAGAAAACCTTAACATTATTGTAAATGATACAGTATGTCCACGTATTGCCCAGCCCTGAGCTTCATCATATGAACTGAATGTGTTGGCCAACACTTAAGCAGAGTGACGGGGTGCTTATCGTGTACCTGATGTAACCACAAACGGGGATAGTCCTTACGTTTCATGATTATCTGCTATAGTAATTGCACTTGAACAAGTAGTGTGTACTTGTTCTCATAGAAACCACTCTCACCCAACAGATGGGTTAATGAGTAAATGAAGTCCAGTCATTTACTTTATGTTGCTCTATTGGTTGATTGAAGGTCAACTCACAGAAAAAGAAAATTGTGTTTGGTGTCAAATTGGAGGACAAGTTCTGGTCTTTATCTACAACACTGTAATACTCATCGGTACTTGTGGTTTACGTCAGTTTAGACCCTATACCGCTCCCTTTACTAGTCTATAAGGAACTCAGAAGACATTTGTAATAAGTAGAGCACAATTCTGGTGCTTCAGTCTTACCTCGTCATATCTTCATATTATGTTTGAATGGTACTACTTTTGTAGGAAAAAGCTATACACCTGAGATGTGATGTAATCTTTTGATTTTCACTATACAGTAAGTATTAATACAAATATTTGCATTAAAGTTTTGTATCAAGATTCTTCTATTAAAACTTTTTACATAAACATTTCTGAACCAATTTTTTATTATTTTTTCCTTGTTTGCGTTTCTTTGAGTTACTGATGTTCTTGAAGGGAACTCCACCTGTCTACTCCATCAGTGCCGAACGAGCACGACGGCGTATGTGAACAAAGTTGTATAAAACCTTTCGTGGTTCCAGGGGGAGCTGCTGGTCTGATAATGATAATGTTATAGGAATGCAACGCAAAATCAGTGAAGTGCTGTTTTAAGGTTCCCAAGCCCTTAAAGACTCGAACCATCCAGATGGAAACATAGCTCCTTCCACAATTTGTATAATGTAAACCACGTTTTAAAAAATGATCTAGATTTCATTAGATTAGATCCTTTAACTATGTGAAATTAGCGCGTTAGAAATCTGCCCTCACGCTGAATTTCCTTACTTTAAACCCCAGTTAGACCAGTCTGCAGCAGGTTTACGTTACTCCTCAGACACAAGGACCTCTACTGGAGTTTAAGTGCTTGTAAACTGGGTTTACAATGAACCACAGGTCCAACTGCTGAGGACAAAGAACAGGTTTAAAACTCTTAAACCTTAAACGGAAGCTAACAACAGAGCTAAAGTCCTTCTGGACCGTCTGCATCACAGGACGGGTGCTGTCTGTTTCTGCAGTATAATGGATGTTCTCTACGGTCTCACTGTCAGGAATCATGTGCAAAGTACAGATTGTTGTTTATTTCTGGAGACATTTTCAGTTCATTTGCTTGTTTGTTGCACATTTGTCTTCAGCTTTTATGTTCTGGACCCAAGGGCAGACATCTCTGAGATGCCACAGCTTTAGTTTTCAAATTCCTGTAAAAGATTATAACTTATTGGCATGTCCCATTGGGGAGGAGAAACACAGCGTTGTTTCTTCTCTTTTCTTTCAACAAAAAAAATTAAAGCATTCTCCAAGTATGTTTTACTTAAAGTCCTTGTTTACATGCGTAACTGCCGGAGCAGCACATCAACATTTTTTAGCTTTGTGCTACAAATTCAAAATGTCACACGTTAACACTGATCAAAGCTCACTTTCTCCTAACAAAATAATATTGCACGTAACATCCTTGCACACCAGCCGCCATTATTCTCACACTTAATATATATATACTGACGTCCTCGCCTTTTGCATTCACACAGATGTAGTTTATCCTCATACACAAACATCAGTAAGAAAGTCATCTTAAAAAAACACAGGGGGGCTAGAAATTACACTAATTTTCAAAAGGAAGTATTCTACACTATACTTGTACAAATCTCAGTTTTTTTTCAAGTGCTATACAGCAAAAAGAAATAGTGTTTTCTTTAAAATAAAATGCCAGCAGGCTACTGCTCGTCCTCATTTTCCTGGCCCGAACCTTCGGAGCGATCACCTTCTGGTCGATCTGCAAGAAGAAAAATATATTTAAAAAAACAAAAGAAAGAGAAAAAGCACCACAAGTAAACAGAGAGCATCAATAGGCACAAATATTCAACAATGAATGAAAAAAAAGTTTGTTTGTACCTGATCTGATGTGATTAAGGGAGGCCAACATTCGGAGCATGAAAGAGGCTGGGACTGTGATAGTGTTCCTAGTTTCCTCTAGCATCAGCTCGTTCCGAGTTATTACCTTGAAACAAAACAGGTGAAGAGAATGTGAAGGAAGTTGAGTCCAACAAATGACAGGAAAACAGGAAAGAAAGAGTTGGAAAAGACGCTTTTTCAAAGAAATCCATCAATCTCCATCTCATCTTCTATCACATACAGAACCATGAACTCAATCCATAATGCCCCCATGTATCTATCTATAAATCTATTTGAAAAACATCTGTCAAGTTTTGATCTTTCAATTTTGGCTTATTTACTTTGTTAGCTTAGCAAAAAGATTGGAAACAGTAACAACAGTGTAAACATTAATTTATAAGATCGCTCATTAGTTTGTTCTATATGGTTTATGTACAAAATGAAACATTGCAGCGTTACAGAGGGTTATGTGCCCGACTACTTCTTGGCCAGGAGAAGTGACTTTCTTAAGTCACCATGAGGTTATTTTGGTTGTATGAGGGTAATATTTCTGGAGATTGATAGAAAAGCATCATGTATAAATGGACACTTCCAATTAAGCCATTTGAAATATAGTTTTTTTTTTAATTAGTGAAACTGACTATTATTGTTTGCCATGTGTTCATTTTGGTTGTTGCTGCTGTTTAGTGTCCTGTAAGTGCAGCACCCTTAAATAAACCAATCAATCAACAAATTCACTGATTCCACTGATCTCCCGGGCGTCATACCTCATTAGCAAGAACTCTGTTGAAAGATGGTGACTCTTCCAGCGGTGACCAAATCTTGATATCATAGTCTATCCCTGAAGAAGCCAGAACTGAAACAGAACAGAAAACAAGAGATGAACATACATCGTACACATCATCTTGGGGCAGAGGATCTTCTGAAGAGCAGAGTGGGACTCACTGGGGTCGTAGGGGTGTGGCTGCAGGCAGTTGACCACGTGGTTGTCAGCTTCCAGCAGCATGAGGTGCTCTGCCGTGTGTCTGTCCCAGATGAAGATGTGACCGCAGTCGGAACCGCTCATCACAAAGTTGTTGCCCCAAAAACAGGACTCCTTTATCTAGACATAAAAGGAATAAAAACACCTTGAATTATTCTACTGCTACTCGTTAAAGGGATAGTTCGACATTTAGTAGTACTTATAGTAAACAGTACAGGCATAGTTAGTAGTAGTTAACAGTGATGACAAGAGTACAGGAAGTCATTACACCCAGTTGTTGTTAGCCAAGAAGTATTTATGTCACGTATTTTTCCCTAAAACCAAAAATTGTCATTACATTTTGTTTGTGTACAAATGACACAAGAAGACACAACGATAGCTTTGGCCCCAGATCCTGTTTTTATGCTAAGTTAAGCCAACTGCCTCATTGCTCCAGCTTCATATTTAACACACAGACGTGAGAGTGGTATCGACCTTCTCATCTAACAAACAATATTTCCTAAAATGTCAAATTGTTCCTTCAACAGTCTCACGAAGCTGCTAAAGCTACTATGATGTAAATGGCGTGAGATGTACCATTGTCCTGGAGTTACGGTGGCCTTTGTAGACCATTTTGACTGAGGGTCTCCTGATATTCTGGGTCTCGCTCTCCTCCATCTCCCTTCTCTCTTTCCTCCTGCGAAACAGCTCCTGGATACGAGCAGCTGCTGAGCGTCTGTGAAACACAAGAAAACCAAAACATGTGATTATAAAAACACACAAAAACGATACACAAACCCATGCTGTAACCGATGCTCATGAACCCCATGCTTTGAATCTTGAGTGAAATTTATATGCTGGTATAATCATTTCAACCAATAACAAGCTTGGTTTAAACAAACCCCAAGCTAGAAAGCAGCCACTTTCAATGCAAAACACCTGCTGCTCCATTAGAACTGAACTGAGCCTTTAATAGTGTTATTCAGAGTCTTGTCCATTAACTACAGTGCCACTAAATTAAAAACAGACACACATCAGGTCCTATTGAGGAAATCAAAACTTTATATTTGTTTGGCTCCATGCACACATTCTTTGATCATTCTCCATTTCTCTTCTCTACAAACTGCTTCAAAATGCTGCTGTTATGCTGCTACCACCTGTGGAGTCAGTACTCACATGCACAACCCTCTAACTCTACCGTTAGCTGTGTGTATATTAGTTGGGTTTTTTTTGTGAGTGAGATGACCAAACCAAGACAAAAACCATTATCTTCATTCTATACACATCACGATGTGCTGTTGAGTTTGAATGCTTTGCTGCATGTCACACACCTGACAGGTTAGATGCTTTTAGTTGCCAGTGCAAAAAACGTTACCTGATCATCCTATCTCCTACTGCAGATCCTCTGGAATTAAATCTATATTTGTAGTAAAACAGTCAATGGCAAGGCATGACAAAAACCCTTTAAACGTCATATTAAAACAAGAGTATTATATCTTAATCTACAAGATAACAACCCGCATTCAAGTACATGAGAGTTGTGTGAGACGTACCTCTGTCCCTGACCTCTGAACCTCGTCGATGGGATGAGAATGGGATCGTCATCGCTGTCGTCAGAGTCCTGGTTGCCTCGTGCAGGCTGACTCTGGCCCTCCTCTCCCTCCTCTGCAGTGGGCTCCGCTCTCCTGCAGCCTCCTGATGTGTCCTCCGTGCCCTCGGGGTGACTCCTCTCAAGTGGTGCAGAAGCCCCAGTGCCCCCCTCGGAGGATCCCTCCGACGGGGCCTGAGCTGACGAACTGCCAAAGGCACTGGAGCAGGAGGCGTCACACGGCGGCTCTGTGGAGGCAGCGGGCGCACTCTGCTGCCTCGAGGACTCAGAGGGAGCTGATGGGAAAATGCATATTAATATATTTTGCTGACCTGCAGTGGTTTAACTTCACATCTTCTTGCAGTGATGCACAGGTGTACTTTAGCACAGTGTGACATCAGTGGTTACAGCCGCAGCAGAGCGCACTTCTAACCACAACCAACCACACCCATCAGTGGTGCAGGTGAAACAGGCGCGAAACATCCCAACGCCACTTTTCATTCTGCTGTTCAAATACAATTTAATTTGAAATGTTCATGATGCTGCAGGACTCACCTTGCTCTGACACTGAACTCTGCGTCGACAGACTCTCTCTGCTCTGTACCGCCACAGACTCGGTTGCTTTGGGACCTCCACTGCCCATAGAGCTGGATGTACTACTGCTCCTGTGGAGGAAGATTAAACAGAGGCTGAGTCCCTCCCAAGGTTTGGCTGTGTGGTTTACAATCGTTTTCAAATTGTTTCTCAATGAGTTTGTTGTGCAAGGCGGGTGATGTGTCTGTATCTACATTATGATGCTTGTTATTTATGGTTTCCTTTTCAATGCCTTGTATTTAATTTGCATGAAGTACAGAATCATTTCACCTCTTTGCTGGGTATTAAGCAGCCTCTAGAGGAATTATTATCACATGCTTCAGGAATAAAGAGCTGCTATATAAACTAAGCTGACAATGG